CGACCCAATCACCGCTCCCCGGAAGATGGGAGCTACATACCAATTGATCCAGATACCAGCTGCAGATCTGCATGTTTCCCTGGTTCTCGTCAAGACACTTTGTGAAGCTCCTCGCATCGGCCTCGCACGACGGCGCGCCCCACGAGCTGTTTGATGCAGACTGGGCCTGGACGGGCTCGGCCGCGGCAGCGGGGGCCTCAGCGGACGATGAGCCGCCGAACTGGATAGCGCCATTGGTCAGCACAACTTCATGCAGGTCCAATCCGGCGGGATGGAAAAATATATGGACAGGACGAAAAAAAAACTCACCATTCCGCTGATACCAGCGCCGAGCATGTGGCCGACAGTGGATCCGACAGCGACACCGGCAGCAGTGGAAGCCATCTACAATTCCCATCTCGAAATGTTAGCGGGGGAGCGCCATTACCAACATCTCTTCCTCCTCTAGGGGTTTCAGATACTGACCTGACCGAACAATCCGGGGCCCTGCTGGGCCGGAGCCTGAGCCTGCTGGACAGCAGGTGGCGCGGTCTGGGGAACCTTTGCGGGGACCGAGGCAGTGGATGCCTGGCGGGTTTGTTGAGGAGCCGGGGCCGAACGCCTGACAGGGGCGGCAGCAGGACGGGCACCACCACGAGAACGAGCCATTTGTGATATTAGTTTTTGGGAGGTGAAAAAAGTGAATGGAAGTGTTTTTGAAACGACAGAAGATGAAGATCTGTGATGCAGGTGAGAATGGAGAATGAAGGTTGGTAGATGGCGGTTATGGTGGTGGGGGGAACGGAAGTTTTTACAAGACCCGTGGAAGTTCGATAGTCTGAGCCCACGTTTCGCCAAGCCTTGTCCACGTGATTGGGGCCGAAATTGTTAGAAGGTTCGGGGGCGAAGGGAAGGGATTGGTAAATGCCCCTAGAAGAGATGGATGGAGCCCTAGAAAGGAAATGTTTTTTTTCTGGCCCAGCCTCGATCATACAAAGGATTTTGACGAGTGGCGGTGGCCCACTGACTCATTCACCGTAGGCTATGCCATCTGAAAAAAGTATCAATTCGATATGAAAATGAAAATGAAAATGAAAAAAAATAACCTACCTATAAACATATTAAGTTCAGCTCTTAGGGTCAGGGAATGACCCAAAACAGGGAATCAATTAATGACCAAACATGCTTGAGAGATGGAAATGATAGAAGGAACAAGTAATATCTAGAAATCTAAATCACCCCACAGTCCGTCCATTGAATGTAGTAAACGCCTGCAGGGTCCAGATACGCTAGTCCGTGAATAGAAACTGGTTTAACAGCCACGGTAAAGGCTGGTCATGGATGCGCCGTAAATGTGGACTATGTATCATTGACACCCCATTCGCATTGAAAGTTAACATCCAACCATGCGCGACTGGATAATGAGATTTAGATGGAGTGAGTTGTCTATGGGCTATGATACAGCGCGAAAGTACAGCGCAGCCCCAATTGTAACATCCTTCAAAAGTGTTAGTTATAGGGTAGTAACGAGATACCTGCTCCTAATAGCTAGTGATCCGAAGCCACCATAATATTAGGCCCTTTGCACAGACAGAGCTGGCTCCAAATTCTACTTGTATGATTGGTTGACGGGAGGATCGGCGCCAATCAGGTTACCGGAATTTGGAGCTGGAGTCTTTTATCTAATATAGACAACCCTCTAGCTCTGGCAATACGATGAGAGAATACCATTAATAGCTCAATTGATCAATTGATCGATCTGTGGACTTTAAGGTATTTATAGATATAAGAACCCAACTTACTTTATTCGGAACACTTTTGTAGAGTGTTTATATTTAATATAGTCGAATTTCCCATGGCCATAAGGGAATGAATTCCTAGGCCTTATTGGGCTTCACAGCTCATCACCCTGAACATAAAAGGTAGACGCTCTCTCTATAAAGGTACCAGCACCCTGCTACGATCCAGAGTATGTCCTTATATAGAGACAGGAATGTATCGAGAACATGCTTGTATCAAACGCCATATCCATCTATTCCGTGCCGATAAGCTAGCGATATGCCACTGCTTCGATCAAGCCTCCGCTATAGAGCTCAAGTGATATATGCATCATTCCCTATTCATATTAGGTAGGTGACTTTTCGAGGATCAGAGACTTTAATGACGTTTAATCTACCAATTGTGTAATCCCCTGCTCGATTAATCCACGACTATACTAGCATACGCGTAGCCAGCTACATAATGTTGAACTATCGGTCATTAGCTCAGTCAGGGGCGAGTGTGGGGAGTAAATCGAAAGAGGGCTCACATGAGCGTGTGGTAAAGTCTTCAAAATCAGCTCCTTTCCTGTCCAGCTGTCTTCATCTTTCCTACCTTTCATCACATAACCAGCTATATCGAGTCTACAAATACCGACACTGAGCCTATCATACATGTCTCTCTGTTAGCTGATGAGTTGCCTTTCGCCATCTCTGTCTGCCAGAGTTAATGAGTGATAAGCCACGTCAGAAAGTCAGAAAGTGTCCTTTTCCTTCATCCTCCCAAGGCCTTGATGTAAGGTTGTCTTAGCAACGGTATCAACAATCTAGCTAAACTAGACGTGTCATCTTTCTATGTATAAGTAGATGTGCTTTCATCCTCCTTCGCCATACAACCATTCTACATATTGACTCTTCCCACACTTGAACTGTAAGTAGTCCGGCTTATGACAGACATGCCTAGGGCCAATGATCAAAACATGCATCACCACACGCATAGTGCTAATGATCTTTTTTTGCAATCGGAGCTAGCTAACTATCATCGCAGTTCCTATTAGTTACCTCCCGCCAGAAGATTAGACATGGACTATGCCAATATTTGGAAGCTACTGCGCAGCACACAGTGCGCTGCAAGTACATACATTTCAATTATTGATCACCGGAGCTGGAAGCACACATAATTCCCCCCTCAACGCGTACGCCGAGAAAGAGGAGCGGGAGTCTATATACGAACAAGCAGGAAAGAAAAAAGAAGAAGAACGCCCCTACTATACATCTAGTACACAGAGAGAGAGGAAACCACCAGCTACTCCACAAACGGCAGTGCTCTCTTCTCCCTCCCCTGTATAATCTTCCCCCTCCCCTTCACTACCGCACACATCAACGCATTCACCGTATACGCCACTCCCAGCTCCCTCGCCCTTCTCACCACCCACCCATTAATATAATCCACCTCTGTCTGCTTCCCGCCCCTCACATCCTGCACCATACTACTCCAATTCTCCCCCGTTGCCCTCGCCACCCTTACAACAACATCATACAGCCTCTCCGCCGCAAACCTGGTCTCCCTACCAGCCACACCAGCAAGTTCCGGCAGCGCACACAACACTGCACTCACCTCCTGCAGCAGCAGCCGCATCGTAAGCGTAATATGGAAGTTCTCCAGTAGCTCCCCGTTCCGGCAGTCGTACATCACAGTAAGAGGATTTATGACGGCGTTCACGGCCAGCTTCTCGGCCTGCATCGATAGCAGCTCGTGTAGCGGCACATGCTCCGCACACAGCAACGGGCACTCCAGAAGCGTCGAGATCAGATACTCCGTCGTACTCGTCAGGTCCTCCAACGGTGGTGGTGTTGGCGCCGCTGCTGGTGCAAACCACGATATCCTGCTGCCGGCCTGGGAGGCAAGGACTTCGGCGTCGGAGGGGACGTAGCCCAGCTGTATTGAACCAATGCCCTTCTGGATGACTGTGAATGGGCCCTTGGGGTATGCACCATGTGTCGTAATCCCCGCCACGAAACACGGGCGCGTGGCCGGGTCCGGGAAAACCGTATCCTTCAGCTCATCGATGATGCCCATCCCATTCTGGAGGACGAGGACGGTAGACTCGGATGTGAGGCGGTTGGACAGTGGCTGTAGTGCTGCGGCGGTCTGGTGGGCTTTTGTAGTGATGATGAGGTTGTGGATTACTGTTTCTGCCTGGCCAGTGGGTGGGGTTACGACCTCTGTGTTGAAGCCCGTTGCGGAGGTGGGTTCTGTGTGCGGGCGGTAGAGGCGGATGAGGGAGCCGGCGCGGGTGAAGTTGCTGAGGGAGGTGTAGTTCTGCAGGAGGAGGGTGACGGGCGGCGGGGATGCGAGGGTGCGCAGGGAGTGGGCAAGGATGGAGCCGATGTTGCCAGTGCCGAGGATATGGATGCGGGAGCGGGGGTCGATGTGTGTGTAGGCGGGTGGCGGGGGTGGTGGAGGATGCGCGGAGGTGTAGGGTCGCGCGGGCGGCGAGTAGTATGTGAGTTCTTCATCTCCCGCCACCGTCTGTGCTTCCTCCTCAACCCCACCAGGCTGCGGTTCGTGTGGCGGGCTCTGTTCTTTTGCGGTGGTCAGGTATCGCGACATAGCCGGTGTCAGTGTCGGTATCGGTATCCTTATTGGTATCGCGCCTCTTCCCCGGATAAGATACTTTGGCAATCGCAGCACCATAGTCTGCAGCGGCGGTGGGGATATCTGGGTATCAATCAATCAATTCAAATGCTCCCTCCATCCATCAGAAAGAAGCCGGGGGAGGAAGAATGCAAGCGCAGGGCAGGGCGGTGCTAGTTAGGAATCGCTGGCCGGCAACATGTCGAAACGGTGATTGACGTCCATATAACTCACTAGCTGGTGAGTTATGCGTGCACGTGAATGAGAGAAAAAGTGAGTGACGGGTTCTGTAGAAGCCCTAACCCTGGGTATCAATGATTGCTGGGGCTGTTTACGCCGAGGGCCAACGACGGGGTGGCGGGTGGGCGTTTGGGTGTGGCTGGAGAGTTGCATGTAGTAGATTATCGTGATACTTGCTGTGGGCCTGATTATTGCATTTCTGCGGTTTATACGCATTGGAGAATAGAGAATTAACCCAGACCCTAATCAATATGCAGCGGAGCCTCACTCACTCTGATCACCACCGCCAAGTCTTACCCGAGCATCATCAAAAAATATCCACACCTCTCACAAAACCACCACCACCACTCACACATTCACCACACGCCCCCACAACCACTGCAAAAATGCCCCCCTCACCCACCTCCCCCCTAACGCACCTCTCCCTCCTCGATGAACAACTCGACGACCTCACCACCACGCTCACCCCCCTCCTCACCACCCCCGGCCTCCCCTCCCTCACCGCCACACTCCCCATCGCTGACCAAGCCCGCCTCTCCGTGCTGACCGCCTACACGCTCGAGTCCCTCCTCTTCACCTACCTGCGCCTCAATGGCGTTGACGCCAAGACCCACCCCGTCATGACAGAGCTCGCGCGCGTGCGCCAGTACGTCGCCAAGATCAATGCCGCGCAAGAGGCGCCGAAGCGTAGGCCGGCCGTGGATAAAGAGGCCGTGGGCCGGTTCGTGAAGGCGGGGCTGGCGGGGAATACGGCGGAGGGAGAAGGGGCAGGAGAGAAGGAGGAGAGGGAGAGGGCGAGGGCGAAGTTTGAGGAGGTGTCGAGACGGATGGAGAGGAGGGAGGTTGAGGAGGAGGAGGCGAAGGAAAGGGAGGAGAAGGAGGCTGTGGAGAAGAAAGAGAAGGAAAAGGAGAATGAGGAGCAGATTACCCGCATTCTGGAGAGCTTTAGGAGCCATGGGGTGAAGAGGGGGAGTGATGAAGAAGCGTCAGGTTCGGCGAGTGGGGCGGGTGTGAGTGGTGGTGGGGCGGAGAAGAGGAAGAGGAGGAAGGGGAGGAAGGGAAAATAGGTATGTTTCTTCGCTCTTTTTTTTTTTTTTTTTTTTTAATTTTTTTGGGTTTTGGGGTTTTTGAATAGGATGCTGATGCTTGGTTAGGTGTGTAGATCTCTGGGAATTAGTGTTGCGGGAGAGCGCAATGGCCTCCGTAGATCCGTTTCAGTCTCTGTTTCGCCCCCTCGTCCCCGCCTCTGTCCTCATCTCGTTCCCACCATTGTAGCTCCCCACCAGACCTCCCATTTCCGTCTCCGTTTCTCTTGCAATGTACCATTACCAGGCTAGAACCGGCGTTATCTGTTTCTCTTCTTCCTAATAAACATACGCTCTAACCCAAACATAGCCCCAAATCAAGCATCCATAGTAGTAGTAGAAAGTCCCAATCGGGTCTAATAGTTAGCCAGCGGTAAGAACTGGCGTCGGGAATAGAGTTTAGCCATTTACTGTATAGAGTCTTGATACTCGCGCATGTATGATAATGTTTGAGCGATTGTACGTTAAGCTGGCTAGCTGGCTGGTTATGACCAGAATTATGGGAACGGACATGCAGGATCGATCATAGGCGGTCACTCAGTACCGTGGTGGAGTCGAGTCATGGGTGGTGATGCGCGTGCGCGTGGTTGATTACCCGGGTGCTAGCTTGCCATGATTGATTGATTGATAATTCATTAATTGTGCTAGCTAGTTATGTCAGTATGGGGATGGGGAAACTTTGGTTTGTTATTTGGTTTCTGGTTTCTGGTGGCCTGCTTGGCCGCTAGGTGGTTGGTTACTTGGTGTGATATGGGTGTTTCTGTTGATGTCCGTGTGGGGGGTTGAAGAAAGGGAGAGACTTCTTAAAGTACTGATCGGGCACGAGATGTCACTCGTTGTATCTATGATGGGGGTAGTGGGGGGTAGTGGGGCGGCAGTCTTTGTACAGCCACTCAGCAAAAGTGTTCGTGATTTAGTTTTAATGTCAGTGCGCAGTGTGGCGCACCCGTAATGTTGATGTTATTAAAGTTGAAGTTCAAAACAACGAAAAATATATAATATAGTTCGTGACTATATATAAAAAAAGATAGGTCATTGATCTTATTCTTCATTGATTCCTGGCGCCATTGATCACCGGGAAAGTCTTCTCTTGGGGTTTTTTTTTGATGGTCCGCCACGGTTACCTATGGAGAAATGTCTCACTCCGAAATCGGAATCACGAACACTTTTGCAGAGTGGCTGTAAGTAAAACCGAGGCGTGATGGGCTTAGTCGCGTGGTTTGTAGACTCGAGATCTAGCTCGCTGGTTAACGTTGGTTGGTTCCAAGCAAGTAGAGAACCGATAACATAAAGTGTATCGTACGAACTGATAATTAGAAAAGAAGAGGGAGAGAAGGTTCCCTCTTTATAGGTACGGTTTAGAGAATAAAAAATGGCTTCAAGACAAAGATATAGATAGTTTGGAGCCATGTCCAAACTAAATGAAATGTTGACAACAATCTAGGTTCGTAAGTTAGAGGAAAGTGTTATATCGACAAGTATAGTAGATGATGCGTATATCTGGTCTTTCACGGTCACTCGAAAAGCCACGCATACAGTAGAAAAAGGAATTGATACATTAGCTTTTCCAGTATACGACGAAGTTTCAGTAGTGGCACATGCAACGCTTGGCTTTGATATCCAGTGGTTAATCATGCATAAATACCTTTATATATGTTGATCACCATATCATGTCACCCGGTTGGGTTAGCTTGTTGAGCTAGTTCCTGTACAATGTATGCATGGACTTCAAATCCATAGGCCAGACTACATATCAATGATATCAGCTAACTAAATTGAAGTGTGGTTAGCGATAATATCGAGGTGCGTATAGGATTTGGTGAGGGTTATAATTAATTAGACACCAATCGAATCACAAATTCTTTTGTTAGCTATACATGTACACATATACACGTACTAGTACAGAGAATGTGGACAAGTCGGAGATCAGTGATTATGTTTTGCATTTTAACGCAATGAGATGAGAGTAGTTTTATAGTCTAATTACAATTACTAACACTACAAAGAGCACCGCAAAGAGCACCACATACACTCTATACACCCCTTAATCTCTCCCCTACTTCTCCTCCTCCTCCTCCCAATCCTCCACTCCAATCTCAGCGCCCACGCTCTCCACCATCGCTAACACCTGCTCCCACCTCTCCTTCACCAGCCTCGCCACCCCCTCCCCCGCCACATCCTCCACCATCCCCCATGCCACCCGTCCCCTTCCCCTCAACTTCCTCAACACTCCCACCAACCACCTCTCCACCTCCTCCCTCTCCCTCTCGCCATCCTCCTCCCCCACCAAAAACCTCCTCCACCTCTCCACCCTCGCCCTACTCCTCGGGTGCTCCGGGTCCTTAATCAGCATCATCCTGACCGCCGCCTGCGTGCGGAAGCAGAACGTATTACGGTCAAACACGTATCCACCCAGGAACCCCTCTGCCTCGAGAACGCTGCGCTGCGAAGCGTTGAGCGCGGGAAGGAGGAACGAGTCGATGCTGACCTCGTCCCATTTGTTGGACGGCGTGGGCAGCAGAAAGCCGTATTCGCAGAGGAGGAAGTCGTTGGAGTGGCAGCCGTAGGTGACGAAGAGTTGGGTGTCGGCGGGGATGGAGCCGGCGGAGGGGGTGACGGTGTAGCCGCGGGGGGAGAGCTCTACTTTGCACTATATGGTTGTTAGAGGGGTATGTACGCGGGATAAGAATGGAGAGGGAGGAAGGGAGGGCTTACGCCGTCGTCAGAGTGGTTGAAGTAGTCGATGAACGGGCAGAGAGCCATACAGTGCTCGCGCGTGAGTTCTTTATATTCGGGGGTGTCTGGCTTGTAGAATAGGCTTCTGGTGTTTACTAGATGTTGGATATTAGAGACCGAGTGATGGGCTGTGATGAAATGACATACCAACGAGCCAAGCGTAGATGTACTCGTCGCGAGTAAACTCAAAGCCCAACTTCTTGACCTTCTCGAAATCCCCCCCAAACTTTTTCTTCTGCGCATCCAGTATTGCTACAACCCCCACATATCAGACAACTACTCCAGTCCTACGTCCACACTCCAGAATCAATGACACACTCACAAATCGCACTCGGCGGCAACAACTCCTGCTCCTCCTCCTTCCATAGCAGCGGCACCCCCTCCCTAAACTCCTCCAACCCCGGCCACACCCTCATCCACGGCGCCCACCCATTCTTCCCATTGCCCCTCTCGCCCGCAATCGCAGCCGCAAAGCACGCATGCGTCCCCAGCTCCTTCAGCAGCGGCCTCGCCCGCCCCTTCAGGCTCGGCGCAAACTGAACAAGATTCTCCCGCGTCAGCAGCGAAGCTGTGGGTGTGAATGCGATCGTCTCTGGCCCCTCGTTGCGCCTACCTGGGATCGGGCGCCGTGGGCCAGGGCCGGCGATTGGTGCGGTGGAGGCGATGCCGAGACCGGCGTGCTGGAAGCGGGCGGGTGTGATCTTGTGGAATGTGATTCCCTGTGCGCGCGACCAGGTGAGGAAGTTTGTGTGGTTCTCGCCCGTGGCGGGCTCGTAGGTTGCCGGCGGCGGCGGGGGTGGGGGTGGTGGTGGCGGGGTCGTCATGGTGCGGGGATGGATGTGTGTCGGTGAGTCAGTCGGTCGGTCGGTGCAGCTTTGGTTGATATGCAGGATCGATCTTCCCGAGGCTCTGCGGATGCAGGGTTAATTAGTTAGTTTGACTGCACGCACGTGGGAGATCTAGTCTCCCCGCGCTGGCCAATGTCGAGGAGGTCTCATATTTGTATGTGTGAGTGTATAACGGGGCCTTGGCACAGCAACCACAAAATACTAGACTGGATATGTATGAGGTCAGGGCATCCCCCTCACTGGATGCCAGCAGGCCGGCTCGGCCCCGAATGTTTTTGCTCTTCTTTGAGTACATCTGATAGGCACTTTGCGCAGAGGGATCTGACTCCAAATTCTACTTATTTGGGAGGAATTTATTCGATCTATTATCAAAATTCCGGTTTCTACAATAAGCCTGCCTAACATTCATAGTATATATTCAATTCGCGAGTAAGTCGGGATCACAAGCTGCTGCCGCAGCTTGTGAGCCCTCCTTATTCGCTTCACTAGGTGCGTGTAGTCAAGTACACTTTTTGATTGACCACAGTGCAATAGAGAGGTATTATATACCCAGGTATATATGCCAAGGAGTGACTACCAAAGACTATGACATACCGGAAAAATCTCCCAGGCTCGGTGATGTATTTGACTCGCTCAATAAGCATTGATTTAGAGCGAACTAAACTTAGATACATATAGGCAACTTTGTACGATTTCACAGCCGACCCTTCTGTCTTCGACATTCGGGGCAATGCCCATGGCCATCCTCCGTACCCAACGAACATGTTCAGACTTCAGGAGATATATAATGCTTTTCCCAAGCCCCTTCGCCTTTCAACATCGCGCTACATCTAGAGCATGGCACTACCGTACTCCGGGCCCCTGACCTGCGATAATCGCTCGACGCTTCTCTTCAGAGCTCGATCCACGGAAGTTTCTCAACTGTAAACGTTAACGTCAGCACGAGGCCGTAGAGTGTGGCCAGTTTGTTGATATTCATGACATCAATCCGGGGAATGGCATTTATCCGAATGCCTACTATGCCTTTCTCACGGATATCTCTCATAAAATATTGGGAGGCTACGATTGCAGAGGAGTTGGAGATTGGATACCTTTCGAAGGTGAGTGAGGTGATGCCAAACAAGTGGTTCGGTTGGGTGATGGCTACATCCACAGAATGAACAAGAGATCAGTATTTCTGCTCGTTGTTACTTATGGACAGGATTCCCGCTGGGTTTTCTTCATCTCGGATAGTGGGTGCCCATGGACGTATCTTTCACACCAGGTAAGTGCATAAATGACGGCCGTACTTGTGGATTCTAACGAGTCTAGGCCGGCAAAACCTCTGGTATTGACGATGGTGACTTGGAGACTAGCGTTATGATCGGTAGATATCCTAAGGAAATCCACTCGCCCCCAGCGCACCTCACTTTCACGATATCAACGTCCTTGGTACCGATTTTTGTCGTATAACCAAGGCTCGTGTATGGCAGGACTACGAGAGTCCAGCTGCGGTCCAAGCTATTACTTGGTGGAAAGTGGATAACGCGGCCTCCTCAGAACCCAAAGGATTTTAACAGCAACAATCAACAGTACGCATCTTTACTATTCAATTTAGCTAATTGTCCTTATAATAATCATAATAAGAGTATTAGCGCTGTCCCGTCCCATCCTATCCCGCGAACGCTAAGTTAGTACGAACCTACTATCACAGCCTATCACTCGGCCGGATCAGCACCCATGACGCCAATGGCCACAACAAAGTACTACGAGTTTTCTTAGGCGTTCCCGGCTGGAACACACATACACACTGAGACAGATTACTTGTATTCCCGACACCCCGGATTGCTTCTCCGTGCTCTCTTCAGTACTCCCACCGTATTTGCCAACTAGATCTAGAGCTAGATAGAGGCACGTATCATCCACCACAATTGCAACGCCTAGATATCCATATCAGCTGACGACCAAACAAACAAACAATAGCGATACGCCTCTCCTGTATCATCGCCGTTAGTTCGCTCCAGCCAGCCACCTAGCCCCTTCTCGAGATTGATTCCTTTGTTCAACAGCCACAATATGTGTCGAGGCCGAAACACCCCGCGAATCCTGTCCCCTTTCATAGCCTTAAAGTTTATATATCACTACATACCTCTCGCCTTATATACTCAGTGCATTCGCTTCGGCCAGGCCTCGGAGTACAAATACGACGCACGGCCTAATTTCTCTCCACCAATAAATACCACCCACCATCCAAATACTCCCTAACCAATACTGCCTAGAAAATACCCTCTCGCCCACTTTCCAAATCCCTCTCCCCAATAACACCATGTACATCTCCGCCCCCTTGCACACCCCCTTTCCACCCTCCTACCCGCACGCCCACGCACCCGCGCACGTCTCCCTCCGTCGCCGCCTCATCACCTCGCTCAAAGACTTTGCCCAGCGCCGCCTTCCACCCCGCCTTGCCCGCTTTATCCCCCGCTCCACACAAACCACAGCTCATGCTGCCCATGCATATTACACCACACCAGAGATCCCGCTGCGCTCCCCGGAGAGGGGGAGGACGAGGGAGCCGAAGTCGGCGAGGTTGAGGAGGCAGGGGTATGATTCGGGGCTGCCGGTGTGGTTGGCGTGGGCGGCGGGGGGAAAATAGTGTAGGGTTGGGGAGAGAGTTTTTCATCTTCGGTTTGGTTGTCCTGGGTCGGGTTGGGTTGGGTTGGTGTGTACGCAGTGGTTTGATTTTTGGTCGGCTGGCATATTGGGGTGGATAATTGGATCTGTGGATCTGGATGTTACTCGGAGAATATTTTATTTATGGCCAGCTGCGCAATGGAAGACCCAGCGAAAAACAGATGCCCTGTGGTCCGGGTTGACTTTTTACTACGTACTTTGTGTATCCATTGTTTTGTGGTGAGAGTGATGAGTGATGTGTTGTGACTGGACTTGATCGATTGATGCTTGAGTATGAGTGACTCCCTATGATCCTATTTAATTTGGTACAGATATAAACAATCTACTACCCTCCGAGGAGGAAACAAGATATTGTTTATGGACTGCTACACCTGCACTTTCGTCTTGTTGCTCTACTAACTTAACTCTCTAACTTTAATTAAGTGTAAGGTGGACCTTACGCTCTCTCTAGCTATATAGATGAACCCACTAAAGTTACAGAAGAGCCTGATTTAATCCAGGATTATCACATGTATTTTACCGCGTCATATATATCACCGCTATATCAGAGGATGTGTTCTCTTTCTACGTTGCCGTGTATAGTGTTATTTATAAACGTTCATGATATTGGAATCTTCTATTATAGTTGCTACTGTTAATACTAATGCTGCTATTAGTACTGCTACTACTACTGTAATATGTACTCATATCGAATCCTAGCTCCGGTCTGTGGTGCTAGCAGAATATACATCTTCTAACTTTGCCTTCAACCCTAACCCCGGCCAAGACCCGGCATTTATTGCACTTAGCTAACCACCAATCTTGGCGTCTATTAATTAATTCACTACCAATTGCTAATACTGCGTCTAAAGAATCGAAATACTCATAAGTATCTCGGCCATAAATTAGATATTTACGCTCTCTATGTGGTAGTCGCAGTAGTTAATTAATGCCGCTCTAAGAAGCTGGTCTCCATGGCAACTATCTACTCCAATCTAATCTAATCTTTGCACCCCAACCTTCACCTGCCCATTCAATCATTCACCTCTCCACCATTCTTAACCCTCAACCCAATGCCTCCCATCTAGACTCCAAAAAAAGAAACCTACCCCACGACCAACCATGAGCCAAAAACTCGCGCGCACCATCCCCTCCCTCGCCACCCTCCGCCACGTCCAATTCTCCCGCAGAGGCGTCCCCTTCCTCAAGACCTCCGCCCTCCAAGCCAAACTCACCACCGACCTCCAAGCCGCCAAATCCTTCTTCGCCCTCCCGCGGCGCAGCGTGCGGCCCGCCGCCGCCGACCAGCCCTTCCCCCCACCCACGCTCCTCACCATGGAGTTCGAGCCCGTGTTCACTCTCGGCCGGCGCGACCGCCGCGCACTCGCCATCGCCGAGCGCGAGCGCCTGCTGGGCACGGGCGCAAAGGTGTACGAGACGCTGCGCGGCGGGCAGACGACGTTCCACGGGCCGGGACAGATGACGGGGTATGTAGTGATCGACCTAGTCCAGCACAAGTTGACGCCGCGGTGCTATGTTGCGCTGCTGGAGGACGCCATGATTGAGACGTGTGCGCACTACGGGGTGGCCACGGTCAAGACCGAGAATACGGGTGTGTGGGTGCGCGGCGGGGAGAGCAAGATCGGGGCCGTGGGCGTGCACATGCGGCGGAATGTGACGAGCTATGGCGTGGCGCTGAATGTCACGACGGACCTGCGGTGGTTTGATCTCATTGTGCCGTGTGGGTTGGAGGGGAAGGGGACGACGTCGTTGGAAAAGGAGGGGGTGAGGGGGGTGGGGGCTGGTCAGGTGGCGGCCATTTTTGCGGAGATAATGAGGGAGAAGCTGGGCTGTGAGCAGATTGAGAGCTTGAACGAGTGGAGGTTGTTTGAGTGGATTGAGGGACGGACGATCCAGAGTTTGGCCGGTAGCAAAATCACGGATTTCACTCCGATTTAATCCCTCTTCTTGTATACAGTCTTGGTGCTGTACAGATATACCATGTTAGATGTAAATATTAATGGGACGGCACTGGTGCAAACACATACGCTTTTAAAATGGGGACTTTAGTTTTTGTAATAGTAGTATGTAGAGTAAAGGCACAAATAGACTAGAAGAGAAGATGAAGAAATATAGTTACTAAGTAGATATCGATATCACGCAGCAAAAGAGGGGGGGAAAAAGGCGAAACAACCCCATATATAAGAAAAGTGGATAGAGAAGAGAAAAAAGAGTCCAAAAGACAAAAACAACCAAATACGCAAAAAGAACAGCACAAACGCAACACAACCCACAACCAATCTACCAGTAGTTAGTTAAGTAGCCCAACGTCAGTCAATCAATCAACTCAACATGTATCACATCCCGACCCAAAAAAACCTGCTCGCCCCAAAGAAAGAGAGAAAACCCCGTGCGGACCTATGCCAGAGAGAAAAAAAAATGATAGCAATTACATTGACAAGACAACACACGTACGTAGCACAGGATATAAAGATCAGTGAGAACGCCCTAGCTAATCGTCGCAATAGATAAAGAACCTAGACAAACAGAAAAAAGTATAAAACCGGGGGGTAGGAAAAAAAAGATACATAAGAAATGAAATGAGGGCGGAATGGTGCTGTTGAAAGGTGGTACAGAAACAAAAGAAATGGTGCGAATGATAGGAAGTGAAAATGAATAGTAGCCCAGAGGCCAAGCAAGAACAAAAAACCCATATGCCTTTCCTAATAATCCCCCCACCCACGATCCAGCGCCCCCGACCCCTCCCGAACTTTTATATGTATATATTTATATCGAACACGAGAACAGATAGAAACACCCTGATTGATAGCAAAAAAAGAAGAGTAAAAAAAAGGAATAATGACCAAAATAATGTCTCCGGCACATCTAACGCTCTCCCTTTTGCCAGGAGTTCATGACAGCCATCAACCCTACGCCAAGTAACATGACTCCAAAGATACTGACATAGGGCGCCGCATTTCGTTTCGAAAGAACTAAGGATGTTCTTGCCAAATCTTCAGAAGACATTCTAGTGCCATTTGGAAGCTTTCCAATGTCTTTCTGTTTTACTGTCCCGTTTGATACGGAATCCATGGCGTCTTCACTGACACCGTCGGTATTTGCTTGGATACCAGAATTTCGCATAGCTGTTGGATCTGTCTGGCTTCCAGACTGTCGCTTGCGTGACTTTCGGGCTTCTTCCTCTTTTTTAATGCTCTCCACCATTTCAGCGAGAGTCTTTCGTGTTGTTCGGCTCTCCTCCTCTGCAGATTCCGTCCGACGTTTATATGCCTCGATTTCTGCCTTTGCAGACTGAAGTTCTAGCATCATCTCCTCGACGCGCCTCTGGAGTCTGTTCGCCGCTTCAGCTGCTGCCAGAGCAGATGGATCGAGCTTGACCTCCAAGGTGTCGTCATTTGATTGAATGACGTTCATTGGCATATCCGGCTGTCCGTCGAGGGATTTATCATCATCGCCGCAGAGAGTCTCTGTATCATCTATATCACCCTTTTCATCTGCCAAAACTTTCTCCGCCTCAAACTCTCCAAGTACCCTGTCACGGGAAATCCCAGACAAGGCTCTTGTTTCGAGCTGTGAGGCGCGGTCCTCCGCGTCCTCGCGTGCACTTTTTTCTCTTCTTAACGCATCTTCTAGATCTTTGACGAGCGCTGTCTTCAGTTCGAGTTCTTTACGGGCTTTCTCCAAAGCATCTACAAGAGTGAGAAGTTGTGGAGGGGAGCTTGTTGTCTCTGTTTTTAGTGTTTTCTCGGACTTCAATTTGAGCGGTGGTAGGAAACCAATACTTGGGGCTGAAGATGTCCGTGGTAACTCCCAACTAGTTAGTTGTGGAGGGGGCGGTAGGGCAGACGTTGAATTATATGCTATTGGCAACTCCTCAGTTCCAATCTTAGAGTCGACCTGATTTTGAGACTCTTCGGCAGATTTTGGCGTTGTTAAGAGAGCATCATAAATCTCTGTGGTTCGCTGAAGGCTTTGCGATTGCTGTTTCGCTACTTGAATCTCGTACTACAACATATGAATCAGTATCGCGTTTTAACTAGCGCGAAATTTCGATATGACTCACATTCAGCTTTTTGACGACCATTTCCATAGTGACTGGTGCAATCATCATTGGAACCTGTCGGTGATTCATGCCTCCGCTAACGCTCATTGCTGAGCTCCGCGAGCCTTGGGAACCCGATCGGCCTCGGAGACTGTTATTCTGTAGAGACACGTGATTCATTTGAGAGTTCATTAAAGAGCCACCACCCATGGAGTCAAGGTCCCCAAAGTTTACCTCAAAGCTTCCAGCACCCGACGACTGCATTCCTGCATGCTCCACCTTTGCGGCCACTTTATGGTGAATGATTGTTTTGTTGTCCTCCCCCACAATATCAATCCCTAGCTCCAATACGTCATTTTCCCGGAGTTCGTGGGGCTCGCTGTCGCGGTTTTCCTGCGAAAGTCTTTGCCCGTTGACAAAAGTCCCGTTCGACGACTTGATGTCACGTATCCACACCCGACCATTCACCTTTTCCGCCCATACCTCAGCATGTTGCCTCGACAGAACCTTCGAGTCAAAAAAGCCGTTGCTTTGTGTAGGGACAGTCTTGGCGTTGGTTTGCCTGCCTATTCGTAAAGTTTCTGGATAATAAGGTAGTGGGATGTATTTTCGATCAAAAGTCCCGTTGAGGGGCTGTAGCATCAAATATGAATTGTTTTGCGGCTGTTGGCCTCCATTCACCTGGGTACCGTTACTCATCAGATGTTGCGATGGAAGTATAGGCATTGCCTGGTGCATCGAATTTATCGGCAAGCTAGACACGGATGAGCCGGAATGGCCGTTAGCGCCTCCAGGTGCCCTCATGATGTCAGGTTTCGCCGGCCAGCCTCCGTTAGAAGCAACCCTCACTCCTCCACGACCTGTTCCCTTTTTCTTTCCGTTGAGTGAATTTCCCCACACCCCGTTCGATCCGTCTGAGGCAACCGAGGATGACGATGCAGATGATGATACTGAAGATGCGCCAGACGTGCGTTGGGAGCCCTTGATAAAGATTCGCGCTACTTCGTCGGCAGTCATAGAGTTGAGATTATTCTGCCCACCATTCCATGACCTAGGGCCGGAATGGAAATTCGGTGGTTGCGCCACGGCTGTCATATGCTGCTACGGGGGCCCGCACAGAAGACGGAAGGCGGGCAAGGGGGGGGGAGGTGGGATGGTTGGCAGGAGGGGGAAGTGAAAAGAATGAAAGATGGAGGTGGGGGGGGGGGGAGGAAGAGAAGTAGTATAAGAGAAGATTATTTTTTTTTGTTCTTGCACTGACTGATGACAAGCGGCTGATTAACTGTGGCGATGTAGGTGTTGGAACCTGAAAGCCGAGAGCGAGATGTAGTAAACACGGGTTATTATTCTATGGGTATCTGGCGCTTGTGGGCACTTTTGCAATAGTGTTGTTACGTCAGACCGGGGGAGGCTCCAGCGTTGGAACTTGGAGGTGGAGAAGAAATATATGGGCCAGGTATGAATGAAGAGATAGATGAAAGGGGGCCGTGAACGGGGTGACAGAGGCACGGCAAAAGGGGCAATAGCAAGTAAGACTCGAGACTTGCAGAAGCAGCAGCAAACAAAACAGAAGGAACACTGTTCCCGCGTTAAGAGAGACGCTAATGAGAGGTACAGAAGCAGCGGGGGGCAGATAGTGGCTAGAGAGATAGCCCGAGCAAAGGGGGAAAGGGAAAGGGTCTTTCTCCTGCTCTCTAAGACTCCAGGGAGTAATGTAGGTAGGGTAGGGGGTTGTGCACACACGATATGATGGGTTTGGGTTGCAACGTTGGTTGTAGTGGGTAAAAAAAAATAAGCTAATGAAGAGATTCTGGGGTGGCTGTGGATTGGGGGATGAGCGTCTGCAGCGCCTGAATGGATGAGATGTTTGTATGTATGGATATGGATGGCTAGACTGCCTGATGGATTTGATGTGTGCGTGTGTGCGTGTATGGCTGTGTGTGTGTGGACAGATAGATGGATGGCCGACGTGATGGCAAAGAGCGTGTGCGGGAGCTAACCGGTACTGCAGCTGGGTCACTCACCAGAACTTGGGTAAAAAAGCAGATAGAGTAGTAAATCCTGGAACGCGCCCCAAGTGCTGAAGAGACAGAAAAAACACTCACAGGCCGGAGAAAGGAGACCGTGGCACTGCACTGTCTACTCTAGTACCAGAAGTAAGGCTTTGCGCGGTAGGACAAAGGGATGAGATTTAAAGGCCAAATTGAAAATCGTTGGGATGGATGGACCAACGAGAAAAATGGACCCGCAAGGTCTGCAGACTGTCACCGAGCAGGAAGGCAGGATATTAACTGGCCGATCAACTGGTGCGCTGAGTCGTGGGATGTTCTGCGTGGTTAGGGGTTCAGTGAATTACAGTACCTACTTTTCAGTCATGTCACGCAAATTTGTCTTTCTCCAATGTGGCAACCGAGAGCGTGATAGGGTATGCGTAAAAAAAAAGTACATACAGGTCCAAAGAGCCTCAACCACGAATGCATCACCTTACACGATTCAGATGGGGGATCTCTCACTTCAAGATGTAGCTGATGCTACTTACATGCACTTACCGACGCAGAGAGATTCATGGATAGGTATCCCGTGCCCCAAATAGAAACACACATGGATGACGGGGGGTGCTTGAGATAGAGAGGTAAATTTGGGGATGGTTGTTGAGTTGCCGAGAGCGTGTGGCGCACGGGACCAGCGTTCTAGGACTAGGATGGCTTTTCCCCAGAGTCAAGCACCGGACCTAAGCAGGGAATGTGATTGTAAACAGCACAGTGGCTTAACGCGTGACGTGACTCCAGCTCCCCCAACCCAACCCCAGACTCAACCTGACTTGTGTCTTGTTCTATGTACTGCCGCACCCGCCTCTGAGGCTACTTACGGCACCTGCAGTACTAGTAACACTACATCTGTATACATATAGTCATCACAACAACATTATCAGCCCCCCTCCCAAGAATTCTTACCCAAGTGTCCTTCTCTCGCATCGTTTCCAACTTGCACATCTTTCTCTACCATAGTTCTGTGGTTGAGATCTCTATGCTCCTTGTCCCCAGCCAGCTCTGGTCATGGGCTTTCTATCGTTTCTCGTTGTTTACCTGATTGGAGGGATATCTTTTTTGCCTTTATTACTCGGTCTCATCATACTTTATGCCCATTTCACCTTTCCACATGTCCTTCTCGAGGAGCCTATCTCTGACCTGATCCGGGAAGGAGATGAAGATAAAACACTAAAGATAGATGACGAAAAGCTGTCCAGAAGGTCTACCGCCTCCGCCGATGTTGCTGCAGGTTACTTTGCCGTTACGAGAGAGTTCGTCCCTGGGGGTGTAAATGGAAAACCACCAGAGCGGACATCTCCGGCCGGAAAGAGCATTCCCGTAAACGATTCGCCTAGTGTAGTTCAATCTATGTACAGCAGATTCTTCGACAGGCGAGCAAGTACCGCAACCGCAGATCCAAACGGGGTAGATAAGAAGGTTCGAAGGGCCAGGAATGAATTCTACGTGGTTTTGAGGTGCGTCCGTGCATTGGTTTCTTACGCCTAAATATGACGCTCACAGCTCCCGGTTCTTGCAGACACGGGCATCTTATGCTATATGACGACTCTGATCAGACCGAAGTTCGCCTTGTCATCTCCTTGAGCTTATACAAGGTCAGCATCTATGGCGGAGGTGAACCGATCCCAGAGGGAGAGCTTTACATCCGCCGAAACGCCATCTGTCTGTCCAGAAAGAATAGTGCCGTTGATCCAGCGCTTGATACCAATACTGTTGCTATGCCATTCTTCTTGTTCTCCGAACATTGTTCCTTAAAGGAGGACTTTTATTTTGCACTTCTCAAGAACCAGGAGAAATCCTACAATGATCCTGCCACAATATCACCGACGCCGCAACGCTTCGAGCAGGATCACATCATAAATCTATTGCAGCGTCTACACTCTTCAGAAGAACATTTACGGATGAACTGGGTCAATGGGCTATTTGGACGCCTCTTCTTGGCCATATACAAGACCCCCGATGTCGAAAAAATGATACGAACGAGAATAACAAAAAAGATTGCCAGAGTTAATAAACCCAATTTTCTTTCCGACATCGTTTTACAGAAGGTCCATGTTGGCGAGGGTGTTCCATACATAACAAATCCTCGATTAAAAGAGTTTAACGCAGATGGTGATTTTTCCGCGGAGGCTGACGTCAATTATACCGGTAACTTTCGATTGGTATGTTACAAATCTTGAATATAAAAGCCGACGGCAGAGACTAATTGAGATTTCCCCGGTCTGCTTCAGGAGGTTGCCGCCAAAGCTACATTGCAGTTGCCTGGTCGCTTTAGACCCAGGGAGGTGAACTTGGTACTTAGCGTCGTCTTAAAAAGGCTTGAAGGACACGCAATCATTAAAATTAAGCCTCCTCCGAGTAACAGGATATGGATGGCTTTCGAGACAATGCCCAAGATGGAGCTTGATATTGAGCCAATTGTAGGCTCACGACAAATAATTTGGAACCCTATCCTCCGTATAATTGAGAGTCGAGTGCGGGAAGTAATAGCTGAAACTCTTGTACTTCCGCACTACGACGACACCCCATTCACAGATACCATAAACCAATTGTTCAGGGGCGGAATCTGGGAGGAGGCGCTCAGTAATGGAAATCCTACTGAGAGCGAAACAGGAGCCGAGAAAGGAGTTGTGGACGACGTCGATAAAGATGATGCTCTTGAGGAAGAGGTCCCAGAAGATCTTACAGAAAACTCTCTGAGACAGGTAAATGAACGAACCATGAGCATGCCAATAATCGCACAAACAGCAACAATTCTGGATAAACAAAAATCTGCATCGATAATTGGTCTGAGCGAACCACCTGATAGTCCTCGAGGCATTACAAGGTCACCTTCCTTGAAATCAACTCACGGCGAGCGGAAAACAAAATCTCAAAGAGCGCAGACTTTAACAACAATATCACCTCCCTCGCCCAGTGTGATTACGGATGCGGTCAACGTCACAGCTGTCCGCGGTAAGACAGATGTCGCAGATAAAGGTGTTACTTCGGCAGTAATGTCTATGAGTAGGTCGAGGTCATCTTCGAGTCCCCACTCTCCGTCTCAAACAAATCCGGCTTCCCCCACTGGGCCCAAGTTCAACGTGGACATTTTAACACCTGATGTTTCAATTGACCAAGCTTCAGACAAAAGTAGTTATTCGTCCTCTTACGAAGACCGAACAGACGAGGTTGTTTCTAGGGCACGAGGCATTAAAGGAACACCCAGCCCAGCTCGTAGCATTTCCGAAAGCTCTGCTAGGAGTTTAACCGCAACAAATTCGCCTCCTGGCCCGAATACCTCCGATTCAACCTCAAATTTGGCGAACACTATCTTCCCTAAGGCGCTCCAAGAAAAGCCATCTTTTGTGGCAGTAGCTTCCGCAACCGCAGCCGTGAGAAATTGGTACAAAACGCGAAATACACAAGGCGAATCATCATCGCCATCGGTTGAAGCCCCTAACAAACAATCAGCTTCGCGAAATCTGCCACCTGTCACAATTCCTCCACCAGTGGCGAAGAAAACACCGCCGATCAACGTTCCAAAGCGGAAATCACTTCCACCACCATTACTCCCCTCTAGGAATAAGACCCGCGCAACACCAGCTCCGCCAATTCCACCACGAGACCTATCTCCATTCAACGGTGGAACTGATCAATTACTGGTTGTGGCAGCACCAGACTCAGAACCGCCTTCGCCTTCTCAAACTGTGGATGGCGAAGACAGTGATTACATGCGCAAAAACACGACACATAACGGCAGCATTGAGTCCCATCTCATGTTTCCTTCTTCTTCGTCCAAAGATTCTGAGTCTGCATCGGTATCTATAAATTCTCCAGGTCTCCCCAGACGTAGCAGATCGCTGAGGACTGCTAGTGGAGCTTTAGATAGGGAACGAGAACATGAGAGGGCGGTGAGACGTGAGGAAGAGGCTGAACGGGAAGTATGGCACGCTGCAGAGGAGGCAGAGTTAAGAACAAAGGTTCCATGGGAGCCTGATGAATCCTTAACTTGATTTGTTATCTTTTATCTTTGGGGGTATTTCGTCGATCATAAAAATGGTCGTAGATTTCTTTTCCGTTGAGAATAGCTGGAGTTCTAAATGGTTTCTGATTTTACCTTTCTCTTGATTTATTTTTTGGGATCATTGTTATCTATGGATATTGGTTTTGATCTCGATCAGCTGAATAGGCGTGCTTGATATTTGAAATTGAGAAGAATGAAGGATGGGACTAGGTAGCTGATAGTGTCTTTTTCCCTTTCCCTTTTTTATTTGCTTCGTTTCTATATTCAGATGGGCGAAACCAAATCTTTTATGGCGTAAACTTACAGTATTTCGGAGTTTTTCTCATATTGATGGGGTTTAGGTTTTCCATTATGTTTTCTTATTTGCTATTTTCTTCTTTTCTTTCTTTTTTCTTTACTCGTTTGCAACATACTATGCGAGTACTTTCAACATTCCATCAAGATAATTAATCGTATCCGGGAGATGGTGAAGTATATAACTTGATTATTGTGAATAAGTCAAACTTGTTTCAGAAATATTTTGTAGTGCGAGTGATCTGCCGTGATGCATGTTGTCCCGGACCATCAACGCTTCTCCAGGGCAAAACACATCAACAAAAATACCATCCCCAGTGCTACCCAGAGTCACGCAGGCTCCCTACGGATGGAAGCATAAAGCATATGCATAAACAATCTTCCTGGTCGATCAGAGACACACCGTATCCAAGGTTTAGCTTTACATGAATATTGCGTGCGTTTATAACTATGCGCCGAGCCGCTGATACAGCATGAATGCTCTCTAATCTAAAATGGGACGACATCTATATAACGACTTACTCGTATTGATGGGGAGTCATAGGGGATGGTTCTTTTTTAATGCTCCATAATTTCACAGCCTCTTTGGATAAGCTTTGAGGCAGTTTTGCGCGCACTTTCAAAGTGTTTGTTTTGGCATAGAGTTATACCGGTCCTTGGAAAGGCCCTACGGGAGAAGTAGAGGCTGTTTTATTGAATGGCCAATGATTTGGTCTCGAGGTTATTGTTCTGGTCTGGGATGGAGTCCGGGTCTAGGGAGATTCCTCTCTGCGAACCTCAACCCCCAGATCCCGGGTAGTTTGATATCTGACCTGACTGTTGAATTTTAGTCAATGATAAAGCTTCGAGTGTACCAGATACCCCAAGTAAGTAAGCATCGTTAGCCAATATCATTACCACCACAATACCTGACACCCCCATGCTCTGGCCTCGCCGAGATTTCCAGCGCTTACAAAACCACCAGCGGTAACTACATACCAAGATCCCAACGGATCCGAACAAAGCAAAGAACAAAGCAAAAAAAAGAGACTCGGACTCCACATCGGTATCACCCCTGGACGAGATCATCCCCCTGACCGACTTGTGATCTGTCCTCAACAGCATTACCCGGTGCCCTAAACCGAGGTTTCCCCCCGATCCACCCCCTGGATGTTTCAAAACGTTGTGCAGAATATACTATCGTTTGTCTATTGATTGAGGAGATAAGATATCGGGGGGGTATTGCTGGGGGTATGGGCTGTGGTGTCTATTAATATGATTACTAGAGTACTTTACTTTCCTGCGCCATGCATGCGCCTTTTAACTGTGAAATGCTCTCATGGCAGTGGCGGTGCATGATGTAGGCATGCTCTACATAGGTGTTAGTGTGTAGAGTAGGTGGATAAAAACGGTACCAAACTGCCTGTGTAGCTATCTCGATTTGCCCTGGTTTCAACCGTCACCCACGGCGCCAGAAGGTCATCTGAACGGAAGCGAGAAATAAGCAAATTGTCACTGGTCCATCTCTACGTCATACCCCCTACTACCCCCATATTATCCTAATGCTGATGAACCACCATTCCTCGTCAATTTTACCCCACTACTGTAGTAACCTTTGTAGCTCTCATGTACCCCGCCTTATTTGATCGATCCCGGCTATGTTTCTGGACCTCATTAAGGAAGCTCTTGAACTAGGGACAAAATAGTTTCTTTCAAACATTAATTTGGAAGAATATGGCCGTCATACGGCCCTTTTAATGGCAGAGTAAAAGCAACTAAAATACTAGTACACAAAAACAAAGCAAAATACATTCACAACCTCGCTGTAAGCATGAAGAGATATAGCTAAACAGCTAGGTCTGAAAGAAAAAACGCCTGTTTGAGTTATAGGTATGTTTGCTTTTTTTTCCTACGCAACTATTTAACCTTCGGACAAACCCCATCTACTGATGAGCATCTTTTTACCGGACAGTCTCCTTCTCCTAAATGTACCAAAAAGTGGTGGAGAGGGACAGGCCGGAGACGCAAGGCTTAAAATCCGTGGATCTAGATAAAAGATTAGATAAATGCTGGTGATAGCGATAGCATGAAAAGAAGAAACTTACTTTAATGTTTTCCTTGGCCAAAGCGTATTTGCCCATCTTGTCTTTATCCTTGTCGGTGAGAAAATCCATCACCTTAGTACGGTGATCTCCCTGGAGCTGGATCACCTCCCCCATGTCTTTATCCTGAATGATGGTGCCATTGCAGGCTGTGATAATTGTGCAACGTCAGCGCTCATATTCGTTATCGTAATCGAGATCGATAAGGCAGAGTAAGAAGGTAAGGGGCAAGGGTGACACAAAAAGTGCTTAATGAGGGATTTCCCCTATCGGGATCGGAGTACAACGCAGAGGGAGATGTGGGACCAACCGTATTCCTTCTTGAAAGCCTTGAGAAGAGCTTTCGGGCTGTAATCCTTAGATAACCCCTGGACAGTCGTCAACGTCTTACGACCGTTGCGCTCTGTAGAGAAAAGGCCAGGTCAGCACATACTCAAGATGAATGATGCGATGTCTTAGGAGATGGATATCATTGAGTAACTTACGTTGGATACGAATATGGACGTAATTCTTTGGCTGGGTATCACCAACGTCGTCGGCGAAAGGATCTATAAAAATACCGTAAGTAAAAGGTCATGGTCATCTAGCGACCGTGTTCATCAGCCTCCCTTCAGCTGCAGGACATTCTCCCAGTCTAGAAGCACACAGCAGAGAGCTAGGTTCCCGTCTGTAGTGCTGATAGGGGAGAAGATCTGCTGCGAAGACTGATTAAGGAGAGAGAGGCGATAATGAAGACCTACCATTAACCTTGAGATTTTCGATGGACATAAACAAACTGCGAGGGGGGTGTTGTATGCGGAAGTGTTGGAGATATTCCTTAGGCGGAGAAGGCGATGATAGTCTGGAACGGAGTTGCTGGTGTGTGAAGCTGGGTCGGTGATCTTGGTGAAAGAAGAAGAAGAAGAGGTTTGAGGTGGACGAGGGGTTAGGAGATTTAAATACTAGCGAGGGCAACGGAAGGACTAAGACCAAGGTAAGGTAAATGGATGGGTTGGCTGTGCCAGTGTGACTGAGAGAAAGGCCGCTGCAAGCAGCTAGCAGGGTAAGCGACTTGAACCGCGGGATTACTTGGCATTCTGTTGTGGTTGGCGGTGGCTGTGACTAATTTGTGTCCCGGACTCTTTGCTCTTCCTCAAGAATCTTTGACCGTGTTGGTAATTTGGTATCTCCATGTAGAATGCCACACAATAATCTGTGTGGTAGTCTCACTTGAGCATTTATTGTTACTCGATATTATATTTGCCACACAATAAGAAGAAAAACTGGAATCGAAGTGCCGCAGCAGAGCAGCTCATCGCTGCATCCAGAGCTTTCGCTGGTACCAGTAGAACGACACTGTGGCCATACTCGCGAGTCCGATTTCCCTCACCTCATTACCACTCGGTAGGGCTGACCCGACCCGGCTGAGGAAGGGTGGGCAGTGGGTATTAATAACATTGTACCTACGTCAGTAATCTCGCGCCGAATTATTACGCCCGCAGCTGATCGATGTGATATCAAAAAAGGCACCTAAAAATCGGCCCGAACAGAAAGAAAGGGAACTGGTGATCCCAGTAATGGATCACGGTATATGGTTTATTTCACAGCACAAGATATCACATTCTTTTTTGATAAACATCAGCCCGCGCTTGCACTTATCCATGCAAAACTCTCCCTCTATCTTTCGAGTATGTACGCATAAAAAAACAGTTTTCGACCTTTTTATCCACCAAGCGAAATCTAGTGAGCTACGGGCTTCGCGTTCCTGTTGCGAGGGTCGTTCTTGAAATCCTCAGCTATAATAAGTCCACCGAGTTAGCAAAAAAAAAACCAATAGACAGAAAACTCGACAACAGAGCAGGGTAATCCGGGTGTATGCGATGATAACCAGAGGGACAACGATAGGCTAGCCCCGCACAAGGCAGGGAGAGCCACAAACAGGAAAAAACGAGGATCTGTGTAGGAATTGTGGAAAGGGAACATACTGTTCGCGACAAGGTTGGCGAAGCTGTTGATTCCGTAGAAGATGACACCGCCTATTCACAACCCTCCGTCAGTTACCGGACTCCATCAATCGAACAGTTCCCATCCCATCAATCCAAAAACAACAATCCCATCATATCATGTATCCCTCGGGTCCCGAGAAGTAAACGTACCGGCAACGAAGAAGGGCCACATCGGCTGAGCTATGATTCCGTACAACGTGGGGTTAGCGCAAGCCTTCTATCAGCATCTCACGAACAAGGCTGAGTACTAACCGACGGGAGTGGGCCATTTTCGGCCAAAGAGCTTGGTCATGAGAGACATTGTTCGTGAAGTGTTTTGTGGGGTAATTGAGTTGAGGGGTGGTTTTCGACGTATCGCGGATGATGGGATGTGGTGAAGTTGTTCCGACTTTTGCGAAATAGACGTTGAAACTCGGGTTGGGGTTCGGATTTCCGGGTGGGCAAAAATTACGAAATGAACAAAATGTCTCACAAATGGAAATTAGCAATTAAATCAATTCAATCTAGTCTAAATAAGGGCTTTCAGGGGTAGCATTATCTGTGATTTATGGCACTCTTTACATCTTCTGCATTATGCTGCCAAGCGAGCGGTCCGGGTGATGAGGTGTGAGGCTCTTGTACAACCCAAGCGATATAAACAAGTCTATCGATATCAACGACCTCTACCGCGCTAACTATCCAAAAATAATGTCTAACCCACCACTAAACAGCACTATTGCTTCCCTCCAGGGTTGCGTCGCCTCTCTTCAAAACTCCCAACGTCTTCTCGATTCCTCAATTTCAATCCTCGACTCTGGCGTCCGCGACTTCCCACGGATGAAGAAAGTCCTCCAATGTACAAGAGTAAGTTCCCACCTCTCGTAATAAGCTCGCACATATACTGACCGTACTAGCACTTCGAACTAATCTCTGAGCCCACCCTATACGCCGCGCAAACTGCGCTTGCCTCTGAAATCGGCCCCGAAGTAGAGCACCTCCTCCGCCGCGTTGAGCAGCATCTAGCCAAAATGGAGCGCCGCGAGAAGGCATTGATATCAAAGTCAGAGCTGCAGGAGGGGCGGCTTCAACAGAAGCCGCATGTGAGTAGGGGCGCAGTTGGAAGGCCGGGGAGCAGAGCTGGGAATAATGCCAATGCGGAGAGATTGAAAATGTTGAAGAGTAAGAAGGAGCGGCTGGCGCATACTATCGAGAGGTTAGAGTTACAAGCAGGGCACAAGGTATGGATTGTCCGTGTAAAGGTGTTAGTATGGAGATGAGCTAATAAAGATGTGGTGTGTAGGAGAGACAGATGAGGATGACAATGAATTATGGCCGTGGGTGATGCAGGCATCAATAATGGTAACATATGCATAGCAAGCGGGTACATGTTATAGGTTTAACGGCGTCACGGTTAAGGATTTTGTCTTTTAATAAGCTGACGAAATTATGAAATGAATGGAGCAAATAAAGGCTCGTGATAATGCAACGTGTGTTTGTCGTCTGTGGTGTTCAGTCCTACATCAAAGCTCGAAACAAAACGTGTATCACGAAACAACATGTGCTACTCACGAGATCAGTCCAGTTGTTCCCTTAAATGAGTTGAGCTTATTTCCCATGCCGAACTCAAACATTCACCTAGCACTGCCATGTGCTAGGTTGCGCAATTCCACGGCCTTTTTTTCCGTATGCTGGTATCCTCCGGTGTCTGTTTAATCTCTGGTTTTATTGCACTTGTAGTACAGTATTGCAGTGGTATCTTAAAGGTTGTCGTTGCTTTAGGTATGCCTACATGTATGTACATGTAGGCAGGACAAATCCTACTCCATCATGATCCATCACTCGCACTCACTCGCCCCTAACCCATCTTCGATCAAAACAGATCTTTCATTACCATTATAAACGTTACCCATCACGAGCTCCACAATCCTTTCCCCATCACTACCCCAGACTCTATAACCCCTGCAATCCCCATCCCATCCATTCATTTCTGTCCCTTCACTCATCCCTTCGATCCCTTTCGTCCCTTCGGTCCATCCCTTCCGTCCACATAAAATGTCATGCGACCACTCTCACGCTCACGCTCACAAGAACACGAATTCTCAACCATAGTGTAAAGAAATTTCATATTCGCCCTAAGTATGAGATGACCCCCCATCCACCCCCGTCCGATCCCATCCCCCTAACCCAATCCCATTCCATCCGCTTACATAAAGATAAAGAGAAGAAAAAGAAAATGAAACTAAACTCCAGCCGTCAGATAGATCGAGTGCCCGATGAATTATAATATTTATAGCAATTGTGAGTCAGAAAGAAGCCGGACAAAGGAGATTGAAAGAAGACCTAGAACAGGCACCAAGAACAGTCCACGGATTCAAAGAATAAAAACAACCAATGCAAAACACCAACAAATCAAACAGAGTAAGCAGAGTGATGAGGGAGAAGGCCCCTCTAGAGAAAGAAAGAACAGACAGAACATAAGACATAAAGAAATGGAGGTCGTACTATATATATGTATGAACAGTTGTTTATGCAGGGGCATGAGAAGAGAAATGGGGGAAGAAACGTCGGTAAAATCAATCCACCTCGTCCAAGATGCAAAAGAAAAGAAAAGAAAAAAACTAAAAATCTATCCATTTTAGAAAGGACGAAAGTAAGGAAGTAAGAAACCCCATTCATGAACCCATCCATCCCATAAGACAAAAAAAAGGTCAAAATAAAAAAAAAAAAGACATCTTCCCATATTTCATGTAGATATGATATGTCAGGACTCCAGACGTCGCCTACCAAGCACCGGGAACTGCATGTTTTTCCTGGTCAAATCGTGGTGTTGGCAACGGGGTCTCAAATGTCTCGTCGTCTTGAGGAAGAGGACTATTGATCGCGGCTGTGATAGTATCTCTCCTCGTGTCCCGATCCTCATCAATGTCATCTGCTGAGTCACTGAACCTGTCTGAGGACTGGATGCTGCTAGTATCATCGGCCTCAGAACTCTCGTAGCGTCGCACTTGTGGCGTAACGATAACAGAGGCACAGGAAGCCTCCGTTCTATCGGAGTCCTGGCTAGTCCGCGAGGGAGCACCTTCGTATGGAACTGATAGCATGACCTTATCTTCGGTCACACTCGGCATTCTATCATGCTTTGCAAAATGCGAAGCGTCTCTACTGCTCCGTTTCTTTGGAACGTCAAGTTTGACTTGGCTATCCTGAGCATCTGACATTGGTGACTCGCCTCTCCGTGAGCGCTCCTGCTCTTCGGAGTTTCTGGCCGAGTCCCGGTTGTGAATGAATGCCGGAATTACACCACCGCCGATACGGCTCCAAAACATACGTTCCCGTAGTTTGACAGATTCATCCCAGGCGTGCTTCTCATCTCCTTCGCTGTCGCATTTCCACAGACCCTCCTTGAGAGTTCTCAGGAAGGCCAGAAAATCGCATACAGCGCGGGTCCGGACAACGCAATATCCACAAAGTGGGTATCGCTGTGCGTTCGGTGCTTCTGACGTTCGCATTCTGTGAGTTCGGGCATGCTCCTCACCTGCTCGTACCTCCCCGCATAGGGTGCACGAAAATGTGTTTAGAATACTTGTTGATGGAATTGGATCAATCACAAGATTTCCATCTGTGATCGCACTCAATACGTTTCGTCTTGCGAGCCATGATAGGCCGGGGGCATTGTCGAGTCTCAGTGTCGGTTCGATGTCTTCCACAAGTACCCGCTTATAGAACTTTGTTTCCTTCAAACCGAGCCCAGTCTGTTGCTGTCCCTGAGCGCCGTTGCTGTTTGTGGGAGCATTACTCGAAGGACTCGATGGGCGGCTGTCGGCGTCTTTGTCTTTGTTCTTTGAGCCGAATAAACCACCGGTCAACCCTGTTGGAGAACCACTTGGAGATGAGCTGTAGCCGGGGATCCCCATGCCCATGACCTGGATTGAGGAGAACGAACCGCTGGAAAGTCGAGGCATTGGTGATGTCTTGGGGACCACCTTCGGAGCGTGCATAACTTCGCAGAAGTCTTGATATGCTCCAGTATCGTAACGTAAAACTGGATGGAGTAGGCCAGAGAGCGATGTGGGAGGACACGGGGTCATCTCTTCAGGTGTCATATTATTGGGTGACAAGTGCAGAGATTCGAACATGCGGGCGAAGGATTCTTTGCTTGCACGATTGTTCAATGCAGGCGTCGAAGGCGTTCCCGTGGACATGTCCATTTCCGACTCTTCCCGGTCCGCAGTCATTTGTTGCATTACCAACTTTAGCTCTGCGAGCTGCTCCTGATGCGAGGCCAGTAACATCTCTGTATCGGCCAATTGAGCACGGAGCTGCTCGTTCTTCTTATCCATTGCATCCCGTTCCTTTCGTGCTGCCGAGACCATCTAATTCACCCCATAATGTCAATATACACATCAACCCTCAATTGGAGTCAATGCCGAGGCATAGGCATATGTACCTTATTAGCCTCATCAAACAAAGCAGTCGTTAAAGTCTCCAATTCCTGTTCGATGTTGCGCTTGTCCTTTTCTGCCTTGCCGCGCTGTGTCCGCTCCTCCTTTAACCGATTCATGAGTTGCGCAGCTTCGGCTTCCGACTGCCTTATCTTCGCTTTTGACAACTCCAGTTCATGTTTCGTTGTCGCCAGCGAGTCGTCCAGTTGCGTTTGGTGATTGATCGCACTAATCAACTTGTTGCTCAGCGCTGCCACCTCTTTGTTCAAATTCTGGTCCCCATTGGTGCTGTCGCTAGTCTGCTCCTCCTCAGCCGTCGTCGTCGAAGAATTCCTCAACGCGCTCTCGCTGGCCGTCTTGAACAAGCCTGGGCGATCGGTCGTCATTGTTGAGAATCCGGGAGGTGAGTTGATGCTCGAAGGCGAGATTGGCGTCTTTTGTACAGTATTTATGGCGCGCAGTTTTGGCTTCGACGGAGGCCCAGATGAGAATGGGCCATGCCCCTTGTTGGCATGGACGAGATATAAGTATCTGTGGGTGTGCGAAAAAATTAGGATTTAAGGTTAGCGACTAGCTAGCGACGACAAAGCGGGCGGCAAATTTTTTCATTTTTTATTATTATCCGTGGATGGAGGTGTGTGGTTTATGTAGAGGGGGAGAAAAACGTACTCAGCCAGCTTGCTGGTTGTGAGGGGATCGGCGGGCGGAGAAAGGCGTTCGGTGCGAGTGACCGAGGATTGGAAGTTGTGAAAAAAAAAGTGTCGCTTCCGGTGCAGGAAACGAGAGCGAGCGATTGGCGAAGGATGACGACGACTAGAGTAGAGTAGGAAACTTGTTACGTCTTCGGTCGACGGGGAGGAAACAAGTGCAGAAACAAGTTAAAAAGGGTAAAGAAGGTAAGTGAAATAATGCGACCGACTGCAGCAGGGAAGCTGGCAAAGAAGAGAAGTAATAGTTGTGAAAAAAGATTAAGAAGAATGAGTAGAAGAATAAGAAGAAGAAGGAGAAGAAGAAGGAAGGGAAAGACTGGGTGCGAAGAGAGAAGAGAGAGAGAGCGTGTGATTGCAAGTTGCAAGAGAGAGCAAACGAGCAAGCGTGTGCGTCTACGTTGGTATGCGGTGTGAGAAGGGAAGTAAGAGAGAGGAGAGATCAGAGATCAGATCAGAGGTATTTTAGTTAGTAAGGTAAGGAAGGTCAAGCAGAGTAAAGTAAAGTAGGCAAAGTGTCGCCCTCCTCGAATCGAAGGAATCCCTGGAGCGAGGAAACGAGCCGAACGAATGACTGGCAGCGGGAGCGGAGCTGACGGACTACCGACGAACAACTGACAGCCCCAAATTGCGAGTTTTATGACGCTGTATGGGTGGGGGGGTGAGGTACCTCTCTCTACATGCTTTACGTCTCTAGTACGGCATTCGCTACTCCAACATACATAATGCCATGCTATGTGGATCTACTAAACCAGACTACATGTACCTACTTTGACTTGCCTACATGTACCCTACATACCTTTTTCAACTATCGAGTACATATGTCGTAGGCGATACATGTAGTACTGACCTCACAGGACTCCAAGATTTGACATTACTCTCCTCTCAGTGGTGATGTAGCACTTGGAAACAGTAGCGCATGTGCTTTGGCACCCTAATCCTATCCTGATGCGTCTCTCTCCTTATCCACAAAAAAAAAAAACGAAACTGCCCCCGAAAAAGCAAAGCACCCGCCAAAAAAACAAAAGAGAGATATCCAACAGAAAATCCTCACCTCACCGCCGAATCAAGGAACCATGTACCTGGATGTACTGTACCTACCTACCAGCGAAGCAAGAACAAGTAAAAAATCCTCCTGACGTCTCTCTCTCTCCGTCTCCGTCTCCGTCTCCGGACCCAACCCCAGAAAGCATGAAAAACCTGTAGAGCAGAGATATATTTAACCCTCGCCCATATTGATCATAAGCGAACGCAACAGGAAAAAAACAAGATCAAGATCGCAAACCTCACTTTAGGCTGCAAACAGAGGAAAGGTTCCCAGTAGACCCGACAGCCAGACTAGACGGAAGCCAGCCCGTGCCTCCAGATCATTTCCAAGGTGCCGCCGCACCGCAGGGGAGTGGTCAATAAAAATAAAATAAAATACTCTAAGGAGAGTGAGCGAGTGAGGCTGCGCAGGCAGGCGGGAGGAATTTCGACAATGTACCGTACCTGCCTGACCCCTAGCTAGCCTAGAGTAGCGCCCGTGGTTACGGATGATCGGGGAGAGAGACAGTAGTAGAGTAAGAGGAGTTGTGGGCGCTAAGCCTATTTTTGCGGGGGGGGCATGGAGGGGCAGGTGCGAAACTGCAGTAGAAACGAGTGTGAGGAGCCGCCGCCGCCGCCGCGGAGCATCAACAAACGACATACGCATCTCTGTGGACCTCCTACCTGCCTGCCTGCCTGCCCCCCTGCCTGCCCCTCCTACTCCTACTACTACTACTACTACTACTACTACTACTACTACTACTACTACTACTACTACTACTACTACTACTACTACTACTACTACGACGCCCACGAATACCACGATCCGTAAGATTAAACACGAAACAAACGCACCATGGACGACGACGGTTAGTAATCCCCGGCCCAAAGAACTCGAGGGGGGGGGGGTTCGAGCGAGCAGAGCGAGAGAGAAGAGCACTGCCACCCCCAGAACCCATGCCATGCCTGTTCGTGATCGCATCATGTGAAACCCCATAACTGACGCCGGACCATGCAGACCTCCAGAAGATCCGCCAGGCGCGCATGCAAGAGCTCCAGCAGCAGCAGCAGGCCTCCAACGGCGGCGGCGGCGGTGGTAACGACAAGCAGTAAGCACCCCACCCTTTCTCCCCCCCCCCCCACCCCCCCCCAACACATTCTCCAACCACTCCATCTACCTAACAACTAGCTAACTCACCACCACCCACAGGCAGCAAGAAGCCGAAGCGCGCAAATCAATCATCAACCAGATCCTCACGCCCGAGGCCGTCGACCGGCTCAACCGCATCGCGATGGTGAAGGAGGAGCGCGCGCGCGACCTCGAGAACCGCTTCATCATGATGGCGCGCAGCAACGAGCTGCGGCAGCGCGTCACGGAGGAGGACCTGATCGCCATCATCAACATGATGGACAAGCAGAAGGCCGAGGAGGGCAAGGTGGTGTTTTCGAGGAGGAAGGGCGGCTTTGATGATGAGGAGGACGACTGGTAAAGAGAGAGAGAGAGAGAGAAGGGGGGGGGGGAGTCTGATAGTAGAGGGGGATTTTTTCGTTTGGTGGTTGGTGGGGGGTGATATCTACTGTTACTACTGATGGTGTTACTGGCTATTGGATGAGGTTTGGGTATCGATTGGCTGTGTGACTCTGATATTGATAGCTGCTTCGAGATTCGAGTACTAGTGCAGTAGCTGAGGTTGAGTATTTTACTAGCGCACTCTCAACAATAACACATTATACTCAAAGACTGAAATGCTAGCGTCCCTGATATTGACATCTACTGGCTGGCTAAAACCCAAGCACTAGCATCTTCCCAATAGTACATGCATTTACTATGTAGCTGAGCCGGATTACTAGCAATCCCAATACCGCCATTTGCTGGCTGAAATCGGGGTACCAATGCCCTCACACGACTGGGAAATGATCACTCCGCACGACACACAGCTCCAGTAATGATATTTATTGCATCAAGTATCACCTACAAACAATCCCCCCCCCAAAAAAAATTCATTCCAATCATTGACCCCCCCCCCCCGCAAACCCACACACACCCACACACTACCCCACCACCCCCGCCTTCCTCCTCTCCTCCTCCTTCCTCCTCCTCCTCCTCTCCTCCCTCCTCACACCCCTCAAATCCAGCGGCTTCTCGAGCCCAATCCTCTCCCTCAGCGCCTCCACCCCCGTCAGCAGCTCCTCCTCCCAGTAGATATTAATCACCTCCCTCGCCAGCAGCCCGTTCCTGACGGCCCACGGGAAATACGTGGTGAGGATGCGCTGCTGCTCGCTGCGCTTGAGGCGGACGAAGGCGAACATGCTGAGGCCGGTCATGGGGATCAGGGTGTTGAAGAACTCGAAGGCTTTGAGCGCGATCTCGCCTTCGACGATGATGGGCAGGCCGGTGAGGGCGTGGTAGAAGTCGTGGGACTCGCGGTAGCGCTGCATGATGTAGGCGCATTCGGGGTCGTCGATGTAGCGGACCTGGGGGGGGGGGGAGGGGGGTTAGTGGTGGGTGTGTGTGTGTGTGTGGGGGGGGGGGGGGGGGTGGGGTAGTGGGGGAGTGGGATGAGAGTGGGAATAGTAAGACAGTAGAATAGTAGAACAGTAGAAGTAGTGAAAACATTACTGCAGTAGTACAAATAGTAGAACCCCCATAGCCAGTACCCCCAATTCGATTCCCAAACCACCCCAGGAACAGTCTCACCCCCCATACCCCCAATCAACCAATAAACCAAAAAACCAAAAAAAAACATCAACGTACCTGCGACCTCGTATCCGGCGACACCCCCTCCTTATCCAACCACGCCGCATACTCCCTCCCCACAGTGCCGTCCGGCAGCGCCCTCAGCATCTCCATACTCATCGTCTTCGACGTGATCCTGGGGCGGTCGCGGAGGATCCTCCTCCCCGTGGGGTCCGCCAGCATCGCGTCGCGCAGCCGGTAGATGAAGTACGGCGTCGCCGTGGCCTCGCCGAGGGCTGCGATCAGGTCTAGCTTTCGGTCCCCAGATTAGCTCTTGGCAGGGCTGGTGTGATTTGTTTGGGGGGGGGGGGGGGGAGGGATAGTACCTCCCCGCCGCGGATTCAGCAGCGATCCGACGGCGCTGCCGACCGCGAGGAGGGCGCGCTCGGGCGTGGTCAGCGGGATGTGGCCCGGGTAGTTGGGCGGTGGGCGCGCGGTGGGCGGGAAGAGGGAGGCGGAGGAGAGGAGGGTGCGGGCGCCGACGAGCTGCGCGGCCCGCTTGAGTGGGTTGAGGGCGGCCAGCATCTTTGCAAAACTGCTGGATGTGTGTGGTGAGACTGCGGAGAGGGGGGGGGGGGGGAGTGGAGTGGAGTGGGTTGTTTACTGTAGTTGGATAGCTTATAGATAGAGAGATAAGGTGAGGTGAGGTGAAGTGAGGTGAGGTGAGGGATCCACTCCCGCCGTCTCATACGAGAGGTTTCTGCTTCTGTTTCTGTTGCAGCGCCGTCGTCGTCGGCTGCGGTCGGCTAAGCTTTCGTTCGCACACAGCGCTGGGATTGGGATTGGCCGGGCGCCGTAGAACCTGCCGCAGCCACATCGCTATTCGCTACCACTCCACTCTTGGGCTTCACTCAGACAACGCCATGTAGCCATGGCCACAGCAATCTACCCCCCCGTATCACCCGCCGAGCTCCTCCAGCAGGAGGGCATCTCCGCCGTACGTCCCCCCTCCCCCTTCCCCTCTCCACCAATCTACACACACCAATACACAACTAACCCCCCCCCCCCGCCCCACAGTCCAACGAACTCAACTGGCTCCTCACCACCCTCCCCGAAACCCTCGCCTCCCTCCGCCACGGCCTGCACAGCAGCGCCACCCTCCTCTCCCCGCACACAACCTCCACCCTCGCGCTCACCTCCCCGCGCAGCGAGGCCCTCAAAGGCTTCGTCACGCGCTGCGGCCCCACAATCACAAAGGGCGACATCACCGCCAAGCTCCTCGGCCTCCCGCCCAAACACAAGCTCACCCTCTGCCGCGACCTGCGCCTCGACCAGCTCACCGACGTCAAGAACCACGTGCGCGAGTGCCTGGCCCTGCTCGGCCCCGAGGGCGCCGAGGCCGCGTGGCTCGGGCAAGGCCGCGCAGACGCCGCGAGGGCGCTCGAGAAGCTGCGGGTGCTGCGCGCCGGGATTGCGGCGGCGCGCGCGGCGCTCAAGGGCGCGGGGCCGGCGGCGATGTTTCCGTGTCGTGCGGTGGACCCGAGGGTTCGTGATTGCTAGCTAGCACCCCCCACCCCCACCCCCACCCGCCGGAGGAAGCTGAAGGCTAATGAGGATAGATGTTTGATCCGCCGCTGCCGCCGCTGCTGGCGTTCGACCTGTACATCACCGAGGCGGCACTGACGGCGGAGCTGCGCACGCTGGAGCCTGTTTCGGTCGGCGGTGACGGTGGTGGTGGCGGTGGCGGCGGCGGCGGCGCGGTGGGCGGCGGGGGGTTCGGGTTTGGGCAGCGGTTTGCGGCGGCGGTGGGCCTGCGCGGGGGCGTGGGGGCGCACGGGGAGGGCGAGGGCGCGGAGGTCTTTGTGTATCGCGGCGCGAGCGTGCGCGTGAGGGAGAGGGTCAAGGTCGAGAGCCAGGACCCGAATTTGATGGCGGTGTGGGCCAAGCTGGGCGGGGTGGAGCATGCGCTGGTGGGCGCGATAAAGAGTTTGGAGATGGTGGCGGGGGCGGCGGGCGTGGTGGTGGTTGTGTAGGGTGTGGGGTGAGACTGTAGTGTAGTGTAGTGCTGAGGCGTGGATGTGCAGGGCGGAACATGTTTCTGCCTATCCCTCCTCCGCTCCGGCAGTGGACAGGAACGTCTTGAACACTGGTGAAACAGCCGTAGATGTCGTTGGAAAAGTTCCAGACCTCAAATATAGAAATCATGGTACATATGCAAGCCCAACCCGGAGGAAACATCGGTACCGGCGCCGCGCAGGATGTCGAGTTGTAATCATGCCTTATCACTCGGTGTTTCTTTTTTGCTTGTTTCTGGGAGATCGTGGGCTTTGAGACGGGGTAGAAATGGGGGAGGTGGGTTATGAGCTGCAATTGTGGGGTGGTGATTGCAATAGGTAGCTGGTGGTTGGGGGTGTTGGTCTGGGTGGGCTGTATCTACATGTATCTACGGTGATCCGCTCTATCTGGGGAACTGATAGTTGACAGTAGATACTACTAGCAATTGATAATTGGGAACACTTGTTGGGTAATCATAACTCTAGGTGTAAATAACAGCACCCCATCGGGGCAGATTGCAAAACAGTTGCTAAGAACCCACACCAGCCATCCTTTGTCCCATCCCCAGCCCAATTGCAATTGAACCCCCCAATGCACTCAGCCCAGCACCGCCGGTCCTACCACCACCTACCCAATTGCACTCTCAATAGAGTCCTTATACCCCGTGCTAGCTCACAACCAAAGGACCCACACTCAACATACCCCGAGAAGCACTCTATTCCCCCAAGCTCCTAAATATACACATTCCCCCCAACCCCCCCAACCCCCCCCCCGGGCCTCTACTCCCTCCTCTCCTCCGCCCGCCTCCTCGCCATCAACACTATCGGCGCCGCCCTGGCCTTCATGAACGCCTCCATCGCAATCTCCGAGTTTGTCTCTGTGCGGATGGCGGTTCCGATCGACATGAAGAACCTAGCCGTACCCACCCTCTTTATCAGCACCCATCCACAGAAGAAGAAGAGGAGGAGGAGGAGGAGGAGGAGAGGAGAGAGGAGGAGGAGAGAGACAAACCCGAACGTGGCAGCAGACCCAAGCATGTACTGCCCCAGACTACGGATGAACCCGTTTGGTCCCGCGCCGTTCTTGATGAGTGCGTAACCACCTATTGCCCCCATCCATCGCCGTCTGTCAGCTACCTTGAGCCTAAACCACAAACAGAGCCCTGGGAGAGGTATGTACCGAAGAGGAAACCGATACAGAGCCCGACGCCTACGGAGTGTTAGTATTAGTGTTTGTGTTTATGTAGATGGCTAGGGCGGTGTAGAGCAGAGGTAGAGGCCCCGCGGGTGGGGTGGGGGGGGGGCGTACTGGTGCCCATCATAGCTCCCATCTTCACTGTTTGTTGAATAGTTTCGTCAGCTCCATACTCTTCTTCATCTCCGTCTCTTTCTCACTCTCAACGAGCGGTAATTGAACCGCCGTAGATGAACCATAGAGCTTGTAACAGGGCCGAGAGAGACGTACTCTTATCGAATGTTGACGGCCCGCGGCCGCCGTGGCCTTGGGGGACTGCATTGACTGGGACGGGCATGTCGTTGTTTGTTTGGGGTTGTCAAGGTATTTTTTAGAAAAATTGGTGTTTTGGAGAATTGAACAGGATTCAATAAAGAAGACTGCTGTGCGCACGGTTGCTACAATTTTTTTTCAGAAAGCTGCTCTTCCCGCAAATATTTCTGCGGGGAGAAAATCAGATGGATGCCGACGTCAGCCTGGTGCCAAGGCTGTCACGTGAATGTGGGGTGGTGGATGCCGAGCTTCTTGGTGGGGTGCAGGGTGGGGGGGGGAAATCATTGGTTTGACAGGTTTATTGGGAGTTTGGTCGTTGGTGGTCACCCGGGGATTGGATTCTGGATCAAAATCTGTTTTGTATAAAGATACATCTAAATACATGCTAGACAAATGAACATAAGGAAATAAAGCAAAAGAAAACCCCCCAAAACGTTATTAGACTACCATTCTAAATCCTCCATATTCACATCCGCGAGGGTTGCCAGATGGGGTTCGATCTCTTCTCGTTCATACGCGAGAAGGGATGTCTGTCGGACCCTGGAGTAGTATATTGGGCAGTCTTGGGATTTGCAGGCAATCTCTGAGCCCCATGGCTGCCCGGTGCAGGACCAGCATATCTTCTCAAGGTCATTCTTCCACTTCTCTGCCCGGGTGAGCTTTGCCTGTAATTTAAACACAGCGACGTCACTTTCGTTGTAACAATACTGACATATATCTATGAACTAGAGTGTTAGCTGATGAAGGGTCTTCATTGGGAGGAGACATTACGGTATCTAGTCTCTGCCTTCTCTTCGCACACAGCACAGACAAGCGTAGATTTTGTCATAAAGGACTCCATTGTCCTTGCCGACTTTTGTTCGGCTCTGTGCTTAGGTTTGAGGGTTCTTAGTAGTCGTTGCACTTTTGGCATCTTCCTGTACCATGATGCTACGTCTGCTCCTACAAGGTTGAAAATGCGTGCCAAGGGTGGGATGAGGGTCTTGGTGATGTAGTACTCTGAGTCCAAACACAGGATGTCACTGTTGTGTAGTAGTACTTCTACTTCAACAGACTTGTCAATGAGCCTAGCATTCGGACCACCTGCAACAACTACAAATCTACTGAAACGTCAGTCATGCTAGTGTAAGGATGGTATAAGTTGGACTGACGGATATCGTTCCCCATATTGTGGTTGGTTCCGAGGATCTTTGGCCATCCTTTCTAATGCAAGCCTGACGGCAGGCGGGGGAGCAATGCCCTGGCTATGATATGTCAGTAATTGAAATACTCGTACTTCATGTGAAACTCACGCATAATTACCCAGCTTTACTTCCTTTGCAATCGTAAAGTCTTGGACGGATATATCCCCCTTCATGATCTTTGCCCATTGGCGGGTCACATAGGACTTGACCTGCGACAGATCAGAGGAGCGGAACAGAATCCTTTTGATATAAGCAAAGTGCAGAGTCAGGTGTGGAGATATACTTACTTCAAAGACTTCTCCACCATTTTTTGCACTGCTGGGTTGCCATCTCGCCTTACAGTCTCTATACCCTTTGCGTCGAATTCTGGTTCTTGCTGGTCCCGATGTTCGTACTTGAATCCAACGTAACGTTTCTTCGCCAGAAGCACACAAGGGTGATAGACCTTTTCAAACTTGAGTTTAATCGGCTCTGGGTTCATGGCTGTAACTTTAGCTGCTATCTCCTCACCAATATCGAAAGCCTGTGCCTTTGTTTTTCCCTTGAGGTGTATGAATAAACTATCAGTATCGCCGTAGACTACCTCAGCGCCCCATGTCATGTTATTATTAATCATATCTATAGCTTTCTCCAACGTTTCTCTTCCACTCTGTACGATGCTATCTGCGATTTCGGCACATGGCATGCGACCTGAAAATGAAGCAGATGTATAACCATAGGTTACGTTGGCAATGAGCTTCAGGGCCAATTGTCGATTGTTTAACAGTTTATATAACTGTTTGTCGTCTTTATACTGCTTCATTCCGTTTTTGACCATGACTCTTGTGTCCAGGATCTCGGCCAACATCTTTGCGAGTAAGGACTTTCGAATGTTTGGTTTGATGAACATCATGCCATTTGGAGAAACTGTTGACCGTGATATCAGCATGTGTTAGGAGAGAAGGGAAAAAAAAAGGGCTTACGTACTGTTGATGTGGTCTTTGCATAGCTCTAAAAGTCTTGGGGTCCGTTTGTAAACTTGAAAGCCCATTTTGTCTTGCCCGTTCCATGAATCAACCCTTCCAACAAATGTGGAATAGCAGTGGTTATACGCAATCATGATTGACGGATACAAAGACTGAAAGTCTAGGACAACAACTGGGCTTGTGTAAAAGTTCGAGCTTGGCTCCATCACAAGTGGCAGGCACTCAAGAGCGTTCTGGCTCCCAACTTGACGTTTACTTGGCGAAACCAGCATGAGGTTTTCAGGCTTTGCAATTCTAAACATCAAAGACTCGACTTTAAACTGGGAACCGCGGGAAAAAACTGAGTTAAAATCGACACCTAATATTCGTGCCTGCTCGCTGCACATTATTAGAGCCACTTTCTAAGAGATTCAACCCAAGCTCGGCCTCACCTAGTACGTGAAACAAGTTCCTGTTGGTCTATAATCTCTAGATTCAATTGCACTCTTTGTATATAATAGTCTAAAACTGTAGCCAAAGATCCTGGACCGCCATTTTGATACCACTTGGTCAAGGTATCGTATCCGTAATGGGGAATTCTATATACTGGATTAGATACAGTAAATGGAGTATTGATACGTGCAGATACTCACCGTTTATGCAGCAGGTGGAAAACGACATTTTCCATCGTATACCCTAGAAGGTTTAGTTCCCCACGCATAGCTCGCCATATGTTAATCAAATGTCTCCCAGGAATTTTTATCGCTGCGCCAGTGTTAAATCCCCAGGGATCTAATTCTTGACCAAACCTGCCGTGGCTCAATTGTCGCACTCTCGATAGATCATCGCAAAGGTCCATGCCTTTATCCTTGTGTTAGTCTATTTATTCGTGTGAATAATGTGCTAAGAGGCTGGCTCACCCCAAACCTTTTGAGCACGTTCAATCAGGTATCCCCATGAACTAGAATGAACTTCGTAGCCGGTGAGAATATCTGGGTCCAAGGCGCGTACAAGATCCACGAGCTCAATTACAATATCGAGTTCTGTATACTCGACTTTGATTTCTACATGAGAGTGACGCCGAAATGCCTTTTTTGTCTTTTCTTTATCATTCTCGTCCATGGCTAGAATTCCCACGTAGTATCTTTGTTTGTAAGTCGATGCTTATCAGAAAAAAGGTTTGGATTTTTATCCTTACCCATCTTTGATACCATTACTCTCAAAGCCATCATGGGACTGTAAGCACCAGAAGATATTAACTATTGGATCCTTTTCTGGATCTGGTACAAGATTTCCTCGTGTATTGACTATTGAATATCAGTAAATAGTGACTGTATGTATAATTGTATTTCATATATACCATGGACCTCTAGACTCATGATGCTCAGAGGTTGCGATTCATTATTTATATTTTTGGATTTCTTGTTCTGAGAAAATTTGAACCCATGCTTGTTCGTTTGGGTTGGACCCTCGATCTGCACAACCAAGTTAGAACTATTCCTGGAGACAGATATGAAGTTATTGACCTGAGAATAATGCCCCGGCTCTTCAGAGCGTTCTTGCCGAACGAAGGATAAACCATTAAGTCTCTTTTTCTCTTCTAGCCACTTTATAGCTTCCAATCTTGTTGGGGGACGGGCAGAAATCTCCCAGCATCGGAAATTAGGAGAAATTTGATCGAATGCCTCATTGAGTAATCTTGAATTATTATGTTCCGTTGTATTATACCTAGGCACATTTGAAGTCTTTCTACTGTTAAATTTATGTGTGACCCCGCCGTAATCAAAGCCAACTTCTGGTATATCCTTTTCGTCTGAAAAGTATGGTTCCTGATACTCGACCTGAGGCATCCCAAAATCCTCGATAGGAACGAGCTCAGATGTACGGGGAGGACGGAAATTGCGGACATGCCAATTACCCTCTGGGTTCGGAAGCATGATGTTTTTGGGCATTTCTATAACTATGACTATTAAAAGTGTTTTATTCACAGATTATCACGATCAGTAGAAGCACTTACTTTTTTCACCATTCGTTGTGATAGAAACTGCTGTACTCGAGATGATACTTGGTGCTTGGGGGGAAACAATTTCATTTGCAGGGACGAGCTCTGCACTATTTGCGGTCAAGCCCCGAAAGTTTATGCTGCTCTGAGAAGGTCTTTCTTGTGAAAGCGGAAGGGTTATAACCCTTGTCATTGAAGAATCCAAAGGCAGTTGTAATGGCGAGCGGTTTGGTACATCGTTCATACATAAATTCTCTATAATTCCTGTGGCCTCGACCTTACTCAACGCTGAGTTTATCGATAACTGTGATGATGATTGGCTACCAGGTGATATGCTAATGGGTTTTCCTATTTCTTCAATTTTGCTTAATTTGGATGCCCTCTTCTCTGAGACCGGAGTATCTGGGTGATGTTTTCGCTTCGGTGGTACAGGGTGCGAGCCTGGCGTTAGCATTATCATTGAACCGTCTTCTAATTGGCGAAATTCATCTGTAATTTGTAGTTGAAGGAGTATTGGGTCTCCTAAATAATCGGTCTGGGACGAAATGCTACCGTGATCTTCTTGTGATGGGGTGTGAGAATCACTACCATTTGGCCATAAGATTCGTCTTGTTATGCTTTCTTCGAGGTCTGAATACTCATCCGACTGCGACGACGAATCGTTCTCAAGCTCATTTACTTTATCTTTTCCTTTCCTTTGTTCCTCTTCTTTTTGTCCCTCTAACTTCCCCCTCTCTTCCTCCTCTTCTTCCTCATTTTTGTCAAACATCTCTTCATCAGCATCGACCAATTCCATATCATCATCGCTATCAGAAAATTCGACGTTATTTATATCTCCAATAAGGTCAACATCAACATCCGCTCTTGAGTCTTCATCCTCATCCGGGTGTAAATCTTTACGTTCCATGTCCTGAAAGACGAAAAAGTCTTCCACACTTTGCAAAGCGGTTTGTACAAAAGGGTCAGGCTCTTCACGCGGTATAAAATCTTCAAAGCTCGGTGCCCAGCCATCTCCTCTCTGTCTTTCCGCTTCGATTATTGCATTTACCTTCTCCCATTTTTCATCTTCATCCCCCCAGGGTTCATTTATCTCCCTCTTACCAGTTGATGCTACGAATCCTTCCATATTTAGTTGGTCCCCGGAGTTTCTTCGACTATTTTCGTCTTTCCACAACTCTGCAAGACTGTGGAGGAGCTTAAGATCTTGTGGGATAGGATTCGTGCGCTCAACGAAATCATGGTGGAGCATGCGGGGGGAAACAAGTTTCCGGTTCATGATGTCTTGGACATGTATATCCACCTCCAACGAGCAGTAAGATTGTCTAGGGAACTCATGCTCTGGTAACATCCAGTGCGCTGGGATCGATTCAGTATGCCACCGGTGTCCCTCCTCAATCTTATCGAAATCCGGAACACCACGCCTGAATCTAACGTTTTTGCAATCGACAAAACCACATCCATAGAGGTTGAAGTCGATCATAAATTGTAGCAGGTATTGTATGTGAGCTTCATACGGCTGAAATACCTTTTGAAGTATGGCCCCGCTGAGGAGAATCTGGGAAAGTCTGGTCATGTCCCGAGGGTTAAGTAAGTAAATCTTAGCGTAGTATCTCCATCCTACATAGAAACCGTAGAAGGGAGTTCCTTTGACAAGGGATATATTAGCAACGTATGGTTTTGGGATCGGTTTATTCTGGAATTCGTCGCCCTTGCGGGCACCAAGAGCCTTGTCGAGGCTCTTACGGAGAGCTCGTAACCATCGATCCCCTAACACAAAATATTTAGCCTAAACCTATACAGCGGAGATGATATCTCTCACTATTGACGGGATCCAGCCCGATCTCTTCTGTTGGGTATTCTATGTATATGTATGGGAACGCTCCATGAACATGTGCACAGACTTTCTGCCCTGTCTCTGTACGCCCAAATATTCGGATGATAGGGATCTTTGGTGGGTATTTTGAACCTTTCGGTGGAGGGAAAGGAGGGTCAAAGGACGTTGGTTCGATCTGGTAATGGTCGATATTGTTTAGGCGAATACGAAAGGCGGCATCGCTGGAATCCTGCATCGTTTCAGACATCTGTTTTGTAAGTGCACTGGAACCGGTTTAGAAGAACAAATATGGGCTCTCACTGTCTTCAATTACCTGAACGACACGTTGAGGGCGGTTGGAGGGTGTCGTTGGGCAGGAGACGCGTTCTGTACAGGGATCTAAAGTGGTGTCACGTGCTCCGAGTATCCCACACGGAGTTCAGAATGGTCTTAAGATCTTAATATCTCTGACCTGGATCACTTAAATTGCGATCGTTTTATGCCTACATGTAATTTTGCTGTCTAGCTGCATGTATTTTTCAAAATTCTAGGTATCTCCAAGGCCGAGTGATAAGTTGTGAGTATACCCATCGAACATACATGTATTAAGGCCCTTACATGTTCTGTAATAGGCACAGGCATTTGTTGAAAACCAGTTAAATTAACATACTCCGTTGAGACTATCGCCTGCCTCACATTATAGTGAACTAGGCCACGCTGACCGATGGTGATTTTCTGTGGTTCCGGAGGTCATTGTACCGACAGGCTTAGGCGGGGACGTTCTTGATATGTACATGGATACATGTACATATCTAGGCCTTTTCCCTTTTTGAAAACCAAATAATGTAAAGGCGGTAAATTTTAGATATAAAACGTCGAAATTCTAGTTTGACGAAGATGACTATAGTTAGTACTGTATACCTGAGAGTAAAAGGATAGTGTTTCTTGGCTACTCTGGCCCTATGAGAGGTCATTCATTACTACATAGGCTTCTCACTGCGTTGTAGAGCGCGGGAAACATCCCAATAACGCAAATATTTAAGCCACAAGACTCTAGTAATTACATATATACACAGCATATTTACCTTCCCGGAAACAAAATTAAAGACATAACTTTTGATACCCACTTTCTCACTTTGCACCTGGTTGCAAAAATCTTGACAATGCTGGCCCAAGTTCTTCTGCCTTCGACGTCGAAGGTAATCCTTGCTGCCTCTTCGCACGCTCTTTTCTCATCTCTTCGAACTTCAACCTCTTTTCATCGATTATGTTCTTCTCTCCCTTCTTACGGAGATACCGGCGAAGAGCAGAGTTCTTGCCACGTTGTTTTCGTTTCCCTTCTACCCCCATCTTTTTATCTGCCTATATTTATGAATGACTCATTAGCAACCGCCATATATCAACCTATTATCATAGACTGCGACTTACAGCACTGGCCCCCTTTACGTTCTCCTCGTATTCTTTCTTTCTGACATCGTGACTCGCGTTGTCAATCCTTCCTATAAAGTCTGGCTCAAGCGAAATCATCTCTGGCTTCAACTTATTCAATAAGGCCTTGATTTCTCCCTCTTGTCTTTGTTTCTTCGTCTCGTAAGGATTAATTTCCAAAGCATCGAAATTAGGTTCGCCAGATCCAGGTACAATGAGCGACGAGAATCCGTCTGCGTGACCAACACCCAGCACATCGTCGAAAGGACAGAAACGAACCCGGTTGATCGCAGAACCTTCTTGAAGATGCGTAAGGTATGGACTGTTTTGTTTAACTTTGAGAGCGTCTTTCCATACAGTTACATGCGGGCCCCAGCCTACGCCGAGCAGTCCAGTCTCGGAGATGTGTAGCGAAGACGCAGGGGTGGGAGTAAAGTAGGAATGTACCTCTTTATACGTTCGGATATCGAAGATATTCATTCGGGCATCAGCACCGGCAGTGACCATGTAGTGGCCACCCCTGTCTATCGCAAGAGCACGGACTGGGCCTCGGTTTGTGAGCATCTTGACCAGCGGGGTGTTCATATTAGGTGACCAAAGAGTAACGGATCCATTTGCGTGACCAATATTAATGATGGCGTTTCGTTGATTCATAGCCATACTGGAGGGTGCCCCGAGTCTAGTCCTGAATTCCGCGATGAGAGCACCCGTTGTAGTGTCTTGATATTTCAACCACCCACTCATACCAACCGTTGCTAGGATAAAATGATACGGAAGGAACTCCATGTTTGTGACTTCAACATGGGATTTGAGGCAATGTATTTCAACACCAGCATGATCATAGATGTAGGTATATTTCTTTTGAGCGACGGCAAAGAATTGTTCGTTGTGGAGCCATTTGACGTCCCGTACTGTCTCCTTAAGCTGTAGCTCTGTGCCTATCTTGCCCTCTCGCCAGTCAAAGGCGGCGACATGTCCCTTCAGCCCTCCAAGAAGCAAATACCGCCCGTTTCGAGTGTAATCCATGGCGTATGGTCCGAATAGCGGGAGTTTCAAATCAAAGCCCTATTGGTCGGAGCTCATTAATACAAAACTCCCGCAGGGTAAACCATTTAGAAGACGGCCATACCTTTTGAGCAGTAGATACATCTACTGCCTGTACCAAATCTTTCTGAGAAAACTTGTAGGTCCTCTCCATCCCCTCAGCCTCTACATATCCCTGCTGCTCCTCCATCAACATCTCCGCATCTTTGGCATTTGTTGCAGCGGCCTTGTATCGATATTCAAGTTTTTTCAACTTTCCTCGGAGTTTCTTATCCTTAATGTTTTTGACGGCAATTTGGTCACCGCGACCATATTCCGCGAGCGCCGCCTGGAGTTCCTCTGGTGTGCGGCCGTTGTCATTTTTAGAGTTCGATCGTTTCGATTTTGAGGTAGGCGCGGTCAGGGCCTTATTTGTCTGTGCAGGCGCACTGGTCTCTGCAAGTTGTTGAGTCGACATAATTGCTGTATAGTCCCTGGTACTTCTCGCGCAAACAAAAGCTTCAATCCTACCTGCAAAAAAAAGTTCAAGGCGCCAAGATTTACATGTAGAGCCGGGTAATGATTATCTGATTGGATTGAATCTTATCGGCTGCCAACGTCGCCGCAAGTCTAATTGAGAGAGAGTCTCCTTAGAGAGATATAGGTGCATTTTGGACCCCGCCATCCTACCCCACGATTTGCATCCCAGTTATCGCCCACCATGGTTCTAGCAGATTTAGGAAAACGTATTACCAGTGCTGTGTCCGAATTGGCACACTCGAATGTCGTCGATGAGAAGGTACAGCTCGCGCGTTTTAGGCATACAGTTACAAGGGCTGCTTTGTAGGGTCTTAGTGCTGATTCAATTATAGGTTTTCGACGGAATGCTCAAAGAGATTTGCTCTGCGCTGATTGAAGCTGATGTAGGCACTTGCCACCATACCCCCGAATTAGTCCCATCTTTTTAAATAACTAACGACAACACATAGGTTAACGTCAAGCTTGTCAGCGGTCTCCGAAAATCCATAAAACACGCCGTCAACTTCAAAGAGCTACCCCCAGCTGCGAACAAGAAAAGACTCATTCAAAAAGCCGTTTTCGACGAACTCGTTAAGCTTGTAGACCCTCACAATGAACCCTTCAAGCCCAAAAAGGGCCGCTCAAATGTCATCATGTTCGTTGGTCTACAAGGTTCTGGAAAGACTACAACGTGTACGAAGCTGGCTCGACACTATCAAGCCCGAGGGTTCAAAGCCTGTTTGGTCTGCGCGGATACCTTCCGTGCCGGTGCTTTCGACCAGCTGAAGCAGAACGCAACGAAGGCGAAAATCCCATACTACGGTTCTTATACCGAAACGGATCCGGTGAAGGTAGCAAGGGAGGGTGTGGACAAATTCAAAAAAGAGAAATTCGATATTATCATTGTGGATACATCTGGACGTCATCAACAAGAGAAGGAGCTATTTGCAGAGATGGTACAGATCCAGCAGGCGGTGAAGCCAGATCAGACGATCATGGTTCTTGATGCGTCTATCGGACAGGCTGCAGAGGCTCAAAGCAAAGCTTTCAAAGAGAGCGCAGATTTTGGTGCTATTATCATCACAAAGACCGACGGCCACGCCGCTGGCGGAGGAGCTATTTCTGCGGTTGCTGCAACACGAACACCAATTGTTTTCATCGGTACGGGTGAGCATATGCTAGATCTCGAACGATTTGCGCCTCAACCGTTCGTTTCAAAGCTACTTGGTATGGGTGATATGCAAGGATTGGTTGAACATGTTCAGAGTCTCAAATTAGACCAAAAGGATACTATGAAGCACATACAGGAGGGTATCTTTACAGTTAGAGACCTGCGCGATCAACTGGGAAATATCATGAAAATGGGCCCTCTCAGCAAAATGGCGGGTATGATTCCTGGTTTATCCCAAATGATGGGTGATGTTGGTGACGAAGAGGGCTCAATGAAATTAAAACGCATGATGTACTTTCTCTACTCTAAAATTTTCTCACTCGATTTTCTAACACAATATAGTTATATCATGGACTCAATGACCGAGAAAGAACTCGACTCAGATGGTAAATGTTTCACCGCCCAACCAACTCGCATGATCCGTATAGCCCATGGGTCTGGTACCTCAGTCCGTGAAGTTGAGGACGTCCTCACTCAACACAGAATGATGGCAGGTATGGCAAAGAAAATGGGCAAGAACATGGCAAATATGCAGAAGGCTGGTGGTGGCATGTCCGGCCAAAATCAAAAGCAGCAAATGGCAGCCATGCAGCGACGAATGCAGAGCATGGGCGGTGCTGGTGGCGCTGGTGGAATGCCAAACATGGCGGATATGATGAAGATGCTTGGTGGTGCCGGAGGTGCGGGTGGGATGCCGGGGATGGGTGGTGCCGGGGGAGCAAATCCGTTTGCAGGCATGGACATGCAAGCTATGATGCAGCAATTCGGAGGGATGATGGGCGGCGGTGGATTAGGGAATTTGATGGGTGGAGGCGGTGGCAGAGGGAGAAGATAAGTTAAATACTTTGTTAACTAGCGCGATGGAAATCAAGACTGGACTCAATTATGGATATTGGTTTTGGTAGTGACACACACTAATCTTGTAAATATTGTCATTGGGAATTGGCTATAATGGATGAAATATATGGCGTTTTGGGGTTTCTGGAACGTTTTTTTTTTCTTTTCCTTTTGATATCAAGTACTAGCGTTTCAGTGTTGGACAATGGATATAATTTGGACCAGCCATTTACAGTCAATTCTGTGGATTATGACATAAAACTACACCTCACGCCAACAAAGAAAATCACTGAACTTTTTGAAACCCATATCATTCCATTCCATTCCCACCCTGATGCATTGAAATTTCCTCTCGTATAGAAAATTAAGTTGGTACTGGACAGATGCTTTTTTATTTTTATTTTGGTGGAGACGAAGAAAGGCGTGAAATTTACTCCTCCTCCTCTTCCTCCTCACCGTCACCCTTGGACTCGGCGGCCTTGGCCTTCTTTCTCCTGTTGCGTCCGTGGCGCCCGCCACCGAAGGGTGAAGAGAGAGCGAAGTCAATGTGCTTCTGGGAGTCGAGACGAACGATGAAGGAAGGAACGTTGACGATCTGCTTTCCAACACGGATGTGACGCTGGCGGATGAGGACACGAGCGTGGTGGATGGACTTGGCAAGTCCGAGCTTGTAAACCTGGGTCTATAATGGAAGGGCGGAGTTAGTAAACGGAAAAAGGACTTCCAGTAGAAATTCGATGCTGGGAATGTACCTGGAGACGACGTTCCAAGAAATCATCGACACAGAGAGCCAAGACGTAATCGAGCTTCATGCGGGAGTCGTCCAAGACACCAACACGGACCAGACGACGAATCAAGGCGTTACCCTCGAAAAGACGCTTGGGGTCCTTCTCGTCAAGAGTCAAAAGCTGACGGGCAGCACGACTATTCAATATCCATCAGCGACCAGAATTCCCCAAACATATAACAACCCCCCTGCCATAACCCAAAAAGCCAGAAAATCCGTACCGAATCTTGGAAAGGGTAAGCTGGACCCTCCAGACCTCTCTCTTGTTGCGGAGACCATATTCACCAACGGTCTTCAACTCAGCATCGCTAATTGTGAAAAAATTGGTTAGTTCGGACTGTCGAAAAAATGCATATTTGAGACATGAGAATGAGCACGCTCAAATCTCAGTGGTACTCACAGACGCGCAGACTCGAAGGGACGACGCGGGACCTGTATAATTTTATGTTAGATTTTTCATCAGCATTTCACTATTGATGGGGGTACTTATTGTAGGTCTTGGAGTAGGAACGAGGGGCCATGCTGTATCGTTAGGGTTGCTGAATTGATACGAATAACTGTCGTTTGTTTGAGGGAAGTTACTATCCAGGACTTTAACTTCGAAATGTTCCTTGGTGGTGCGCCTGGATCAGTGTGTGACTGTTTTTCGCCAAAGGGCTTGAGACCCTGCAGGTGGTAGGGTAACCGGATATTACAGGGTTAGGGTAGAGTAGATAACTTGATCAATAGAATTCGTAGATACAAGCGTTGATCGAATATACTATTAAAATAAATATACATATGTGTATTCAAATGCGAAATTCTAGAGTTCGGGTTACAGGAACTTGAGTTAATCGTATTCTGGAAATGACATTTTCCACGAGCTTGGAGCCCGGGATCCATGATATTAAGGGGATATACACCACCCCTATCATCTGTGGTTTCTTCGGAGTTAGATTCCATAGGAGACCTTTTGAATTGATTTGTTCTCAATCGTTAGAGATGGGCCCGTTAGCACTAGCTAATGCCAACAAGTGCTTAAGTGTTGAAGCAGGAAGCTTGGGTCTGTGATCGTGCAATGTTTTGAACGATGCCGTTGCTCGAATGATAATTAGCAATTGTCTCGTAACTTTTTCCTTTGCACTAAATACAACCCGTTTACTCGCAATTAATGAATTAAAAAAAAAAAATCCGTTTACTCTATGCTAGAAGAAACCAGTTTTTCTATCATTACCTCCTGCAGTAACTTCAACCTTGCTATTTCTAGACACTTACCCGGAGGAGTACTAAAAGCAGTCACACACGGACCCAACCCCACACAATGGAATATTTCCGAGCTGTAAGTTCAATATCATCAACAATTGAATCTGTCAAAAAAACCTACACGACAAACGCCCAACAATAAACCCCTCCAACAACGCCGATATAAGCAAAAATGTAGGTGTTTTGCTGCCCGATCAGATAATGTCGTAAAGCTACAGATTTTAATTTTGTTTTCGGCTTTAGGGGTCACTCTGGTGGTATTCGTTCCGGTACTAGATATGCCTTCTCTCGCGACTTCCGCAAGAAGGGTATGATCGCTTTGTCTACCTACCTCAAGGTTTACAGGTTTGTCAGAATTTTGCCGCTCTAGCGAGATAACCAATTCCTAATGAATATCATAGAGTCGGTGACATCGTCGACATCAAGGCCAACGGTGCCGTCCAGAAGGGGTCAGTTTAAACATTCCACGAACTGTAACGTTCGCAAAAACATCCGGAGATCTTGCGCTCAGGATGTTCATTCCCATCGAATGAACAGTACCGCTGACTTGATCTCCTCGACCATAGTATGCCCCACAAGGTCTACCACGGAAAGACCGGTGTCGTCTACAACGTCACCAAGTCTGCCCTCGGTGTCATCATCTACAAGAAGGTCGGCAACCGCTTTATCGAGAAGCGCGTTAACGTTCGCATCGAGCACGTCAACCACTCCAAGTGCAGAACCGAGTTCGTCAACCGTGTCAAGGCCAACGCCGAGAAGAAGCGCCAGGCCAGGGAACAGGGCACCCACATTCACTTGAAGAGGCAGCCCGTCCAGCCCCGTGAGGAGCGCACCGTCTGTGCCAAGGACAACCTTCCCGAGACCGTTACCCCCATCCCATACGAGACCACCATCTAAGCGCAACTTGGCTGGGGCTGTTGGAGGGAATTTTTCTTCGGGTGTTAAATAAAATAAAAGTTAACAACTGGGTTCGGGCCATTTCTTTGGATTAGCAGGTGTTTACAGTGATCTTTTCTGTTTAAATATACGGACTTCGAGGATCACTATTATGGTATCCTTTTTTACCTCTACAGGGCTAAGTTTCTCAACAATCTTGTGGATTTCTAGAGTCCTTTCCAAAATTCAACAATAATATCCGTGACTAGCTTAAGAAATCCTTATTAAAATGTAGTTACAACATTCTTTCGATACACATGATCGCTCGCTCCTAAAATCATTGTATTCGTCCGTCCACGGGTGGCCAGATGGAATAAGCCTATACATAGCTAACGGACATGTGAATGGCGTTATTATATTGCGATTTAATGCCGAAGACTCGATATTTGTACGAACTGTTTATGATAATATATATTCTTGCCTAGTTTCTTTGCCCTTAACCGCAAGAATTCCCTCCAGGAAACCGTACATGTTACTATCCTAAACTGGACTCAGAAAAACTGCAAGTACATTTTATCATTGAGTTCTGCGTCGGAATGTTTTTATTAAACTTCCTTTCTCAGCCTTGGTTGAGGAAAAACCCATAACCATAAAGCTCCCTAATCACCGAGTGATATACCATGTCTCGAAGGATTTTTGTTTGTTTAATTCATTAATTGCATGCAACCATGTCTCGAAGGTCAATCGTCAGGTCACTCTAGGGTTAGCTTAATTATACGAGAAAACGGAAATGAAGATTCTCTTTCTTGGTAGTGAGTGCATTTGTATAAACCAAGCCCAGTGCTACCATCTTTATGGCTATTTACTTCTTATACCTTGAGGTCCGGTCAGGGATACGTATACATTTGTGCCAATTGCAAGCCAATGTCTTATAATCTATTCTCAGAAGTGGGCAAGAGTGAGAGATTGAGTTCTCTCATACTGTCCAGAAGGGGCGGGTTCTGTGAAGCTCGAGACCCAGCGACCCATAAAGTTACTCCGTAAATACTATGTCAGGAGGCATGGCTATGCTTAAATTTCTTGCTTTTTGTCTTCACATCTACAAAATACACAGTGAAGATTCCTGGTGCAGAAGCAAAGATATTAAACTAAACCGAATTAATTCAACGTCAACTCATGGTATTCTCAGTCTAAAATCAATATTTTTCGAGAGAAAAATCCCTCAAAAGGAAATTAATCGACTGATATTAGCATCCGTATACGATAGCTTCATACCCAACTTATTACTCAACCATGTGGAAACGCTACGAATTTCTACCTAGACAATTTGCTAGGCGAATTACTACATGAAATTCCTCTGAAAAGAAAGGATGCAAAGTAAGAACGCAGGATGAATTTGAACACAAGTACTAGTGTTGGATACGATCTGATTAATTTGGTTCAAGTCTTAAGCTCGAAAAACTGTGAACTCCCCTTCTAATATTTTAGGTAGAATGATCTAATAAAGCCCTATGGATCAACTAATTAAGTTTAATCCCAAAGAATCGGATGAATTGAACAAAAGAAAAAAGAAATTTAAATAACTTCATCGAGTGATAATATGTGATTGAAACACTATATTCAATTGCTTTTATGTCATCATGGACACATAAGTGGATCCGGTGCACTCAATTGATAGAGATGAAGTACTCGTGGTAAACACATTACAAATGTTGTACGGCCAGATAAAGTACTATATTAGCACTCAAGTAATTAGAGACCATGTATGTAAAATTTCAATATGCTAAAGAGTTTTGGTTCAGCGTAGGCTTGAGTATTATGCTATCCTAGCATGTTCGTAACTCACAATCCGATAGTAGGGGTTGATATCTCGATCCAAATAGAAAATAAAAAATTTTATTTTGGAAGGAAGCACTAATCCTGACGATACTGAAAATGACCCTTATGATGGCAGCGATCATAGATGGTTTATGGTTACCGATCGAATCTATCCTATCTTAATAGATAAAGTCAATTCTAGTGTCCATGAATTTCGGGTGCCTCGTGTCTCGGGGTGGTCCGGGTTGTACCCCTCGCGGGACCGGGGCACCTGGATACACTGACGGTGACGGTGACTACAGTCCTCTCGCCTCGAGGTTTTCAAGTAACCAGACCACACGGCACCCAGAATTTACATATTTTCCTTTGGATCTTTAGTTTAAGTAAGTACACTTCAAGGTTCTAGCTATGTAGGTAGGGCTAGGGTCGCACCAGGCTTTCGAGTGATATCGCATGATCGAAACACATTTGGGCATGTTTCCTCGCTCTCATTCTGCACTGAAATCTGAGGATATATATGAGCTAACCGACGCTTTGAGTCGTATTAATACGGTTAAAATGTTCTGTAACACCGCATACAAGGGCATCAGCTCTTAATCTTCTTGGGACTTTGTACATGTAGGTATAATTATGTGGTTGCTTCCGACTATTAGAATACTATTGTCGCTATAAAACGGTATGATGTTTTAATCCCTAGTATCTAACAAACCCCTAAATATATCTGACTGTATTGAAACATGAACTATTGGATTGAATATTTGAATTGCCAAGCCACCGGTGTAGTTGAAACAACCTACAATGCAGGAGTTGCTGATGCTACCTGAGTGCATTTTCGAGATGCTATGAGTAAGACATGGAGAGAGGAGGAGGTGTGTTAGATCTAGAGATTGGCGCCTTGTGTTTGTGCGTGTAATAGTCGCGCCGTTTAGTGTTTTATTCACATGGATTCAAACACTTTATAGAAGTCAAGAGGGATAAGAGCTGCTTCTCATCGAATATCGTCTGATTTATCGTCTCGTGGGTGACGAGGGGGCGCAAGTTATAACCTGTCTTAATTAATTGGTGAGCCCTGACCTTTCGATGGTATGGCTCCGATAGCCCCCGCTGACCAGTGACAACTTAGCACTATAGTTCGATGTACCAGATAAATATAATCCTGTTATGCCATGCTATTAATTGGTATCAGAATTATTCTCTAACTTGCCCTCTGTCAAAAACCTCTACTGTCCCATCTCCAACATAATACAGCACTTCCTTTTCTTCTGCGCTGGTATCTCCCACCCCTCGAGTGACCCGGATGACACCACTAACATCCTTCGCGATTCCTGTGTCCAGTAATCGCAATCCTACTGTCCACGCTGCACTATGTGACAGACTAATCACAAATGCTGCATGGTCAATTTCCAGCCTTGTTCTTGGCTCTTGGAGGAATGCGGAATCAGCGTTAACCATGATTATCACTCCGTATGATATCTGTAGATGTTAGTAATCACCACTCCACCAACATTAGTATTGCCGTCTTGAAATATACGTAAGTTCTGAGGAGTATTCTGCTGATAGCCCCTGCTGTAGATTTAGAGTGATAATTCCTTCATCTAGCCAAGTCAAGATTCCAGGGAAACAAACCCTAGCCCAAATGAGCTGTTTAATTGTCCATCGAGGCATTTCTACGCCAGCACCAAATATTCTCTCCCCAGAACTCACAAATACTTCTAGAACAACAGTAACATCAGGTAGATTACGAACCTCCCGTAATTCCATGACCATATCTCCCATCTCGACTACACCCACACTCTCCAGCGCAGCCGATAAAAACTCCGGGTTCTCCAGTATCAGCAACGGCTTTCCGCCTCCTGCCGTAAGACGTCTAACCGCCTGCGAGATACCACTCATAATCCCCTTTATTCCGCCTGTAGCGGATAAAGCTCCGGCAGCAGCGCTACTAGGGCCAGGTGTAGAGGGGGAAAATAACTTGGAGAGCCCATCGACGAATGTGAACCGGTCTTTTGCGCCATATGCAGTGAGGTCAATCCCCTGCGCCATGATTGTAAGCACACCACTAGAGAGACGTAGAGGAACCACGCACTAGCTTCCTGAGACATTCACCATGGAATCCTAGGTCTCTTGTAAAGCTCACGAATACAACAGCTCTCTCACTCGCAGTAAGAGCTTCTTTCAGAAATGCATGTGCAAGCCAGCTCGCACTAGCACCGAGCACGGATGTAACGAGAACCAGTTCATCTTCGCCAGGTAGTGAGGCGTAATGAGGTTTATCTGATGTTCGTGTCATTGCACAATTGTATTTCGGCGCAAATTCGTAAATGGGCGAGGTTATGCACGGGAGACGCGAAGGTTTGGTTATTATATCATTTTTTGTCATGCATGCTAATTTACCCCGCTACTCTAACCTGGGATGATTTGTGGATAGCAGCAGAGCCTCAATCAAATAAACGGAACGCACGGACGTTTGTCGCAAACAAGCATACAGAATAGAACTCCCCTAACCCCTTGATCTACTCATGTTTCTGAACCCTAACCACCTTTTGAACATATCGATAATTAAGAACCCTAACCTCCAATTTTATAGGTGATTGGCCTCACTCAATATGACACACCATCAAACCGCTCTTTGAAGTTAAACAGCGCTTGATAGGGGGAGGCAAGGAGCAACATCGCAGGATGAAAGAAAGAACAATCAAAAGAAAAATAAAACAACAATTCCAGTTCGCCTCTCCAACCCACCACAAATATAAAGAAAGTATTTCAATAACAAAAGCGAAAGTTGATACGAATAACAGACAGAAAACCACTAACCACAGGCCTGAACCAATCCAAAGATGAAACCAAGAGAGAAAAAAGCTAGAAGGAGGGTTGAGCTCGAGGTAAAAAGAGAAGAAAATATGGTAAAAAAAATAATATTACATTCCATATGCAAACTCCGCATTACGCAGTCTAGCCATCAATATTGAGACGCCCCACTATTCAGTGCCCGTAGATGCAGGATCATCTCCAGTACGACGCTTCTTTGCACTTGCGCCGACATCCATTGATGAGGGCCCTTCCTCTGGTGACCTTTTTCTTCCCGTGCCCTCAGAATTTGGGGTGGCATCGTGAACGGGGGAAGCGTTTTTCTTCTCTTCGCTGACTGAAGAGAGAGTTTCTACCGGAGCCACCGGAGCAACGGGAGCAACGGGAGCAACGGGGGCCACAGGGGCAACTGGGGCCACGGGAGCAACGGGAGCGATGGGAGCGATCGAGGCAACTTGGGTAACTGGAACTGGAGCAACTGGAGCAACCGGTGCTACTGGTGCTACTGGTGCAGGTCCCTGTGTAGATGCGATGGAAGGATCAAGATCAAAAATTTGATGCGTAGCCATATCCTCCCACCTCACCATATTATCGTGCGGCCCTTCAGGTTCAGGGTTCTGGCTGCCCTCTTTCGGTCCCCCCTGGGCAACTGCTAAGAAGTCATCGGTAATTTGTTCAAGGGAGGCGCCTGCGAACCCTTCATTAAGTGCTGGATCCAACGCCAATGACCCAGGTGCAGGCGATTGGTCAGACGAAGGCATGACAGTATCTTGACTGTTGCCCCAACCGGCTAGGAGACTTTGCATAAGCAAGTCTGTCGTACTGGCGTTGTTGTTATGGTTATTGGTGTTGGTATTGGTATGAGGATTGGTGTTGTTATTGACGTTGATATTTCCCTTGGAAGAGCCATCCTGGCTCGACTCCTCCTCCTCGCCTTCCTTGGTTTCACCGGAAGAACGTGGAGGTTTGGGTCTCTGGCGGGGGCGAGCTTTGAAGCCGGCCGATTCATATCTTTCTGGAAATGCATTTCGGAATCTGGGAGTATTAGCTACTGAGGTTAACAAACGGAGATATGAGCCCCATACCGATCACGAAGATCTGTGCCTCGACGGTGATTTAAGTTTAACTGTGGGTCATTTTGTATCTTTGACCAAGAAGCTCCGTGCTACCCATCGTTAGTACCCCTAACCCTTCGAAAATAAATCACAGAAGAACTCACAATTTGAAATCCTTGAAGAAGACGCGAATCTTCATCTTGTGTAAATTCTCTCCTTTCACGACGCTGTACTTTCGGAAAACTCTTTGGAATTCCAAGTTTTTCTAGGACCTGGGCATGGTGAAGCTCTGTCCTCGTAGCTTTCCTTTTTCCCTTATCACTGTCTGGTGCCTTTGGCGTTCTGGGTGCTACCGGGGAAACCGCAACCGGTTCGACTGGAGTAGCAGCAGGTCGTGACTGTGAACCTGTATCAGACTCTTCTCCTGACCCTCGTGCGTTCGCTTTTTTATATTCTTTTGGGAAACACGTGCGAAACCTAACCCACTAGATTAGTATTTCAGGCAGGGTAACGTAAAATGATAGATATCTCAAGGGACCAAACCTGTCTTTCAAGTCTACAGATGAACGACCGTTAAAGTGAAACTGAGCATCGTCGAGAACTTTTTTCCAATTACCAACACCGTGCTGGGGAGAAACCAAAATATTAGCGTCCATGTTGCCACACCAAAATTACGCGCGAAAAAAAAGGAAAGAAAATGCCTACAATATGACATCCTTTGATCAAATCATTAGTTTCCTCCTCTGTCCATTTCCTTCTTGCCCTTCGATTTGAGCTTTTCCCTCCGACCGACGAAGACGTGGGTCTATTAGGTGTTGTTGCTCCTTTGGACGACTGACCCTCGGTTGTCGCCAGTGCGGATGGTAGAAGCGCTGGATACGACCGGCTTCCTGATGGAGTTGCATTATGGTCTTGGCGGTTCTCCGCCGCCGCCGCATTCTCTTTCTCGCTCTTTACTGTATCGATATCCATTGATGGGGCCATGGGTGCAGGCTGAGGCTTCATTCGCGCTGTTAAAGTTATGGATTCCTCAAGCCCATCCTGCGCATCTTGACGTTGTGAAGGTTCTTTCGGCACGTCTGTCGGGGAAGACTGCTGCTGTTGTTGTGGGTTATGCTGTTGATGCTGCTGTTGCTGTTGATGATGCTGCTGCTGCTGCTGTTGTTGCTGCTGCTGCTGAGATGTCTGTGACTGTTGTTGCTGTTGCTGATTCGGTTCTCGCCGACCCTGTTGGTATTGTGGAGAGCTGTACGCATCTTGACTCGTGGATGGTTCGAGCGGCGCCGGACGATCTCTCGGCTGAGAGTCGGACCCGGAAGGGTAGGGAGGAACGTCGCGGATTGGGGGCAGGTTGAGAGCAGCCAAAAGATGGCTGGACATGTCCATTGTGGAGTTGAAAACGCAGCTACAAAGCTGGGACTACTGTAATTGAATATCGGCAAACCGTAAATGTAAGCGGGAGGAGGAAGGCAAAAAAGTGGTAGTAATGGTGGTTGGTAGTGGGGGGGTGGTGGGCGAAGGAAAGCGTGACAAGGCAAGAAGACAGAGGAAGGGTGGAGGTGCTTGTTACTTGGGCGGCCAAAGACCCAGTAGCGACAATAAGCCGCAGAAGAAGGGAACAGGAGCGGTTGTGTACCCCAGCCCGTTACATAATCGGTCAACACCGGCAAGGAAGCAAACAAAAGGAAAAAGAAAAAGTAGCATATACAAGTAGCGGTCAAGAATACAAATGCATTCTTTTCTTGTTCCCTGTTGATACCTTATGCAGAGAAACCCACAGCGCGGGAACATAGACGTGTACTGTCTCAATTCTTATCTGGAACTTCACTTGTGGTGTTGAGTAGAGTACTTTGCAGCATATAAAGCACACACCATCTGTAGCCTGGACCAACACTTGAGTTCCTGTCCTGTCCTGTGCAGAATACGCGAATACGATATACCGGCAGCAGCAACAGGCGCGCAGTTGTTAGGCGTAGGCGCCTTCTTCAATACCTAGAGTGATACCTCGCAAAACAAATAATCGAGGTCTATCCAATATGTATTCGCCATATACCTTACCGCCGTTTTTCCATTTTGTTTTCGCGACGCTGGAACCGCTCTCTACGTACGTGGGTTTAATATTGCATATCTTGGTCGAGGCTTTCATAATCCCAGTCATGAGATATCACTATAGATAACACTATTCTAACGTTATGCGCTGAATTAGGTTATCTGGCTTCTTGTATCCGTACGTCTCGCCAGAGAGGTTCCTGAACGAGCAAGTCCCGACGATACCTCTTATCCAGCACACAAGCATATCAGATAATGTCCGAGGAAGTGTCCTGCAGCTAGCAAACTGCTACCTCTTGCTTTGCATGTGCTCCTTAGCTGTTCTCAGGACAACAAGTGAGAAGACTGTAGTCAGGAACTTTCTCATTGCATTGTTACTTGGAGATATTGGTCACCTGTAAGGAAGCATCTGCACAGTCTGTGCAGCAGAATTTCGGCTTACTCGATGTGTAATAGGTACTTCACCTGGACCGCCTTGGGAACAGAGCTTTTCTTCGACCCTACTCGGTGGAATGCACTGACAGGTGGAAATATTGGAGCTACAGTATGTCACGTCAAAAAACTCATAGTTTCATCCATGCTCCATGTGTGCTGATCTCACCTAGTTATTCCTTCTTCTGACACGAACTCTGTACTTGATTGGATGGGGATTTACCCCTCAGTCTCCCATCAACAAGCCGAAGAAAAGGGCATAGAATTAAGGCATGAAGCGTGACTGTTATATTTTAGCTCATAGTTATCGTATACCCCGGCAATCGGTAAATTTCAATAGATTGTATATCTCTTGTCACTTAAGTCCCATGTTGATAGGTCACGTGATATGCAAGTAACCGTGTGTAAGCTCCTTAGCCTTAGCCCCACCCAACACCGTAATGTACTTCGTCCAAGAACAACCTACCTTCAAGCCGCTCACGCGACAATGTCCAAAAATAACGAAGAGCTCTCCGACGACTTCGTCGCTTCTCTTCTCTCCAAAGAAGCCAGCGAGAAAAACATCAAATACTCAGCACTTGGACTACAAGCATTCCTCCCGAAAAGGTTAGCTCCAAGACCTCACCTCACAGCACCATCGGCGGAAGGCTAACGATGTAGATCTGCGACAAATGCCCCAAAACCAAATACGCGTTTCCTCCGCAATATTGTTCGCGAAGCCGACAATCATAATGCGGCACTACTTGCGAGGGAGGCAGAAGAATCGAAGGAGCGATTGCGTCAACTACACTTGAAGGAAAGAGCCAAACGTCGAGGTGAAGTGGATGGAGTTCCTGTCGAGAAATCCAGAGCAGCGCAGAGACCAGATAGACAGATTTACACAGTCGGGGCAAAGCGTAAATTGCTATCTACAAGAGGTGGCGCGCGGAACGGTCTAGATCGAGACAAGGATAGCGATAGGAAGAGGCGACGTTCTAGGAGTAGGGAAGGTAAAGAGGATGGACGCACCAAAGGGCATAGGAGCAGGTCCATGGACAGAAGAAGTCGCAGTCCGAGTTTGGAGAAGGAAAAGGGACGGCGCAGAAAGGAGAGCAGATCACGAGATCGTAGGAGATCAGGAGAACGCAGACGGGACAGATCTCGAGAACATCGATCTGACAGCCGAAGGGAAAGTCACAGGCATCATTCCTCTCGCCATTACGACTCGAAGGGCAAGGAAAGCTCCCGTCATTCCCACCGTTCCCGTTCCCGTTCCCCTTCTCGCTCCCGTGAAAGGGATGGCGACAAATCCAAGTCCACCTTGAGCTCCCATAGATCCGACAAGAAAGACCGCTCCTCAGAAACCACCTCAAAGTCGTACTCGTCGCGCCCTCGCTCTCCACGCCGTCGTCCCGAGGAATCTGATGCTGACCACGAGCGCCGTCGTAAACGTAGGAAGGAAATGGAACTGGCCGAAGAGCCAGGTCGTTCCTCTCGTGCCTCTACCGACCCTCTGGATGATATCATTGGTCCTGGACCTGCTCCGGCTACACGCATTCGGGGACGGGGCACCTTGTCAGGTGCCTCTGCTATGGATGCGCGGTTCAGCGAAAGCTATGATCCTTCTCTAGACGTACAGCCAGATGTGGCTGACGGGGATGATTGGGATGATGCTCTCGAGGCATACAGAGATCGCCAGAAATGGAAAGCCTTGGGAGCGGAGAGGTTGAGAACCGAGGGATTCGGAGAAGATTTCATCAAGGCGTGGGAGAACAACGATACAAAGAACACGGCGAACATCAAGTGGTCGAAGGAGGGCGTAAGGGAATGGGATAGGGGGAAAGTGATTGAAGAAGGGGAGGTGAAGGTGAAGGCTATCTGGTCGAAGGATTAATATAGAGGCTCTAAAAAACACGCATTGTACCTGCACATATCTTTAGCCCTGTATAATAATACGCACAATTAGTTAGGGGTATTAATAGCACAGCTCCATTTCTAACCTAAACCACCAAGGGTTTCAACTGTATTCTGTATATTACTTTGCGCTGATCAGCCCTCAAAGATCACTCAGAAGCTTGTATGACCGAATCACAACCCAGGGAACCTCTAAAAGTAGTTGATTCTCTGCGGGATCACCCCCTAACCCAAACCCTCTCGCCACCGAGTGACACGCCATGATCAACTCCAATCATAGTTTTTTGTGTGGGACAACGCAAGATCATGATGAGCTATAGCTACACCACTACCACTACCACTACAACAAACGATTCTCAACCTTTTCATTTCAACTCGATCCTAGAGGGACTGCAGTAACACTAGACGAAAAAGCAGCATCTTAATAACGCCATGAGCCCGTGTATCAACCAAGAATATCAGACAACACAAGATTGATATATCACGACCAGTCACTACAAGCTTATACCTGTTTCCAGAAGAGGATCTGGAGACTACACCTACATGTTATAACGCTTGATATTTAGCATGCTATGTAGGCCATGCACAAAGGTGGAGCGCCACAAGAAGGATTCTCTTCAAGATTCCCTTCTCAACATACTCTCCACAGCATTTAATACCAACAAAAATAAGAAATACAGAACTTATATCTAGCGTGCACGCTCCTCTTATTAGTATCGTGGTCCCATGTAATATGCGCAGTTTAGCATAGTAAAGCATTTCTGGGCGATTGGGGACAGAGGGCCGTGAATGGAAGACTACGTACATATTCGAGAAAACAACGCATCAATGCAGCCGTACACGTAGTTTAGGTTGTCATACATGTTTTGATAGCCGCAGCCCGGACCATAGGAATCGACCACTTGTACCAATCTACATCGAGCCTTCTCTTCCTGAGAAAACTAAGGGTTAGGTTCGAGATATTCATGGTGTGAGTACATGTAGTCACTATTATAACTCGGGAAAGGTGGATTTCACTGGCTCTCGCCGAGTTGGCATGAAAACAGCCCTATGGGTTAGGGTATCTCTCGAGAAGGGGTCTTGCTCGGGGCATAAATCGGGTAAAAGTCTACTGTTGTATCGTAGGTGTCTATCTCTCCTCATCACTACAACTTTCAGCCTTAGCATCTTCAAGTGACTAATATTATGGAGGACAGGACGTGCTGAGAGTGGGAAACACTTTAGATTCCCACCTATTGTGGATGAAACGGCGATACACATTAATGTGTTAGATAGCACTGACCATAACAATCTGGAATCTACGGAAGTTTAAACAGCGAAACTTTTCCGGGAAGACAAAAGATCAAAAAAAAAAAAAAAGAAAAGAAAAGAAAAGAAAAAGGAAGAAAGAAAGGCCTTGGCCTGTCAATGATATCTACCACCACAAAACAGACCTACGCAAAAAAAAAGTCAACTAATGGTATCATTCAGCACCGTCTACCTGGGGACCAGCGCCTCCAACCCCTCTACAACACTGCGATACCACCTCCCCATGCTCTCCCTCTCGGCCTTCCCCTCAGCCCTGGCACTATCCCTCATCCTCACCGCCTCACTCGCAAACCTCTCCAATCCTTCCTTATCCAACTCCAATGGCTCAATCTCGCTCTCCAGCTCTGCCAGGACCTTCTTCCTCTTCGGCAGCTCTCTCTCAACCGCATCCAACTCCTTCTCTAACCTTGCCAGCTCCGCCTCCCGCTCTCCAAGAAGCGCAACCGTCTCGTCAAGCGGCATCTGTCGCCCCTTCTCCAGCTCATCGATGCGCGCCTCTAGTGCCAACGTCTCGCCTGGAAGCGTGGCCGCTGCGGTGCTCCATCCAGACAACTGGCCGTAAGTGGCAGTCAACCGCTGCGAGAGCGCCTCGAGGTCGGCAAGGATCGCATCTACAGATGCTTTCGACTCCTTGAGGGCAGCCTTTTCAGTTACGAGTTGGGCTTCGAGGGCGTCGTTCTCGGCGGGCTCGACGATGAGTGGTGGGTCTTCTGTGATGGCGCGAAGGAACTTTTCCTTTGTTACTTGCTCAAGGTAGCTGAAGCGCAGCTTTGAGAAGAGTTCCTATGCATCCAGGCTGGGGTTTAGTTTTTGGGCTTTGTATGATGAGAAGAAGAAGAAGAAAGAAGAAGAAGAAGAAGAGAGAGCGCACTTTGTAGTGGCTCAGGTCGGCCTGCAGGGCAGTTGGGGTGCTGCTGTCCCAGGCCACAGAGGCATCGCTGCTCTGTGTGAGGTCGTTGGTATCGAATGGCGCGAGCGGGGAGACACTGGCACGGAGCTTTAGGATGGTGAAGTCGTGTTTTTGGATTTTTTGAAGGGTTTCCAGAAGGGCGGTATAGTCGGCGGTGGGTGTTTCTGTCGCCATTGTTCAATTGGAGAGGTATGGGGTTGGATAAAGGTGAGCGCTCTATCAAGGTGATACGGTATCGAGCTAGGCAGGCACAAGAGAGCGCGCGCGACGGAGGTTACCGTGACGCGGAGTCAGGTGCTAGCTTGCAACGCCCAGCGGTAATGATCGAAACAACCAGTGTCTGGTAATACATTTTTGGAAGGTGCAAAAAACTAGAAAAGCATAAATAACAGCACGCAGATTAAAGCTGCTCGCTCTTCCCTATTTGGACAACTAATCTGGACCAGTCAAGCTGGGACGCCAGGCTACGACGACTTTACCTTAGTCTTAGAGCCGAGTTACTGTTATTTCTGGGAAATAAGCCCACGGGCTTAAAGCAAAGTGGTGGGAGGAAAGCCGAGGAAAACTGGTGGTGTATGCATATTCCCGTTACTTAAGCCAATCAGCAAGCATTTTTCTACCGCTACTTTGCTTTAAGCCCATGGGCTTATTCCCCAGAAATAACGGTATCTCACAATTTCATCTTGGGCTTTTGTCTCAAGCATCGCGAGCATAAATATCTCTTGAGACGACTTGATTTATGTTTTTGTTTTAAAGGGGGTTCAGTTCGGGATATCTTAAAATATTTGGAGTTTTTTCTTCGCTAGAGGTTCTAGTATGAGTCGTAGTTTCATCCAGCAAGGGAAGTCTCGACTTGTTTTGTGTTCTGCGCATCACTATTCTCTCTCGAAAGTAGACATAATCTAAACACAACACAAAGTTAAAAAAAAATGTTAAAAAGAAAATGCCGTTCCAAGGCCCAAAGCAACAAAAAGGAGAGGCATCCCGCCCTGCTCCTTCCCACCCAGTCACACAGTGTTTCCACCAAGCCTGGGAGGTGGCGGTTCGAATCGCCGACCTCGGCCCCTCTGGGCGACACCATAGCCACTGGGCTACGGCGGTAGATGGTATGTGTTTCTCTAGTATGGTTATGGAGACACTTTTAGATGGTTTATCATTCTTGGATCTGCTAAAAGCTTGAGGCGCCATTGAGAGGAGTTTTGTTTGATGCAACGATTGAGTATAAACTTATGTAAAAAAATATAGTTTGCTCGAGCTATGGCGAAGGTTTGGCTTGAGCTGGCTCATAGATCACACTATACAAGTTCATCCTCATGGTCAAGTGCATCTATTCGACAATTCTTGCCGTCTCGAGACTCAATGCTCCGACTGATTGCAAGGGCACCATTGTATATTATTTTGCCCAAAACCTATATCTTGATAGAAGGACAAATGATTGGCGAAGAATTCTCTCTGTTTTTTTTTTTTTACTTTACTGACTGACAGGCCTGTATCTGCAATCCTATACCGACCAATTATCCATTCACCCAGCTTCTGACAGCCCGGAGGATTACATGCATGTTTCTTCGTGCCGAGATGCCACTTGGAACCCATCTTGTCAACGAGTGACAGCCTGAAAAACAGAAGCCATCGGTGCTAAGTATATACCCCTCAAAAGAAAAAAGAAAGAAAAAAAAACAAGAGCAAAATTCAAACCCCAACAATAGCTTGCAAGCTCCTAGCTGATATGAGGACTTGTTCGCCCAAAGTCCAGACCAGTGACCAGTCTAGTCATTGCTTTATCGTATCTCGCCTTACACTCCACCGGTGCGCCAGATAACTCCACAGAAGGGTGAGCTCATTTATGCCTATATACGACCGTATGCAGCAAATGAATTAAACAAAAAAAAGAAGAAAAAAAGACCGTATGCAACACCTTTCAAGCGTGTTCTCATTGCATCCCGTCAAACCCGGCGCCCGCGGGCCGGGGACTACCACCCCAGTGTCTACCAGATAATCATCCAAGATTCCTTTCTGAAGTCTTCAGTACGGGCAGCATGCTCGACTCTAACAACTAGCTAGGGCTCCGGGTGCGGATATTTCTTTCTGGAGTTTTGGGATGATGTGTTAATCGTGGCAGGTCATTGCGGTGCACTGGTGGATGTTGTTAACAATTACATTACCCAAACTACCTGTACTCTTATCTTGGAGACATTTCATTCTCAACTGCACCCATAAAGATGAGCCCCCCCTCCCGGCCCTCTTCATTTTTCTACTAGCACTCAGTTCATACAATCCATTTCCTAGCTAGGCTCTCGGTTCTTTACTTTTCTCCACAAATCTCATCCCTGAAAACATGTCTCTTAGCAAGCCCAAGTACACACAGTAAACACCCCAGCCCAAGTCGAACTGTTCTGGGGGTGGTAATGGATGGCCGATGGTCCTCACGATTTAGCTTGTGGTCGGGGTCATGGGGTCGGGCCCTCAACCGGTCACAATTATAGGTCGGATCATTGCCAACTAGGAAAGGTGATTCCAGTATGCACACAAAACACCCAAGAAGTTTCTGAGGCTTCTCATAACCCCCGGAAGAGGATACGATCTCGATCATGAAATTACTTTGTAATTGCACCACACTTTTAGAACCACACACCGGCAAGTAAAATAGACTCTACACACAATCCACCCTCTGTCCGCCTTTCTGTCCATCCGTCTGGTCGTCCGTCCGAGCCATTACACACACACACAATTCATACACTCCTAGTCTCGCACCCAGACTTTTGTCAACTCTGCAGACTACAATACACACCCACAACCAACCCGCCCCGCCAAACGCCAAGAACGAGTGACATCCCATGACCGCGCCTCCACAGTTCCACTTCTGATCTATGGCACCGTACACTCATGATAATAGATTAAAAAAGACAACAACTTTTTTCTTAAAACATCTGGTTCTTTCGTAATTCCCAGCATGACGTGCAATGCAATATATTTTTTTCCCGAACCCGCTTTCCAAAAGAGACAAAAGAAACGATAGAAACGATCGGTAGAAAAGGGACGTAAAAAAGAAGAAAAAGAAGAAAAAGAGAATTAAACCTATCATCTACTTACAGTAACGAAAAAAAAAAAAAGAAAAAAGAAAAAAAGAAACCAAAAAGAACCAAGACAAAGTCCAAATCCAAACCCAAGTCCAAGTCCGCAGTCCGCAAGAACCAAGAAACGAAAAAAAAAAAGTCCACTAAAATACCAAGTCCTCCCTCACACCCTCCAGCACCTGCCCCTTCTCGTCATAAATAGCACCAAACTAACACTCGTATCATTCTCGCCCATGACGGGCGACGGCTCAGCCAGCTTCTCCCACGGCTTGACGGGATAGTCGATCATCTTGCCGCGCTGGAAGGCCTTGAGCCATTCGGTGGTGGGCGTGGTGTTGTTGCTGCCGATGAGGTAGGACATGCGCGGCGTTGGCTTCTTGCCGCGCGTGAAGCGCCGGATGTGGTGTGTTGTTTCGTCGGGGAGGTCTACGTGTGGGTGTGGATGTTAGTAGGGTGGCAGAGGGAGGGGGAAGGGGGGGACGTACCGTCGATGAAGCTGCTTGTGATGTCGAATATGAAATCAAACAACTCTTCATCCTTCCTCACAAACTCATGCTGTTCCCATACCACTCATCAGCACTCTACCTCCTTCACAAAAAACACAGAGAAAGAGCAAAAACATACCTGCAACAGCGCCCCCAACCCCACCACCAGCCTCCCCCCCTCCGCCACGCCCCCCCTCCCCCCAAACGCACCCCGATGCAGCACCACAACCCTCAAAAACAGCAACAGCCAGCACCGCCACTCGCCCACGTCCACCTCCCACCCCTCCTCCATCCCGCCCACAATCATGACCAGCTTCTCCGCCAGCGCCGCCGCCACCCCGGGTACACCCCCCGCCGGGATGCTGTACGCCGTGGCCTCGATCACCGCCAGTAGCGCTCTTGCCAGCGCCTCGCCGCCCTCCGGCAACGAGGGTTCAAGAGGGCCGAGACACAGCCGCACGGGCGGGAACGTCGACGACGAGAGCAGCAGCTCCTCGGCGTAGTGCCGGATCTGCGCGGCGCACTCGGCGTTCAGCACCGACACGAGGTCCGTCCAGATGTTCACGCGGTCTTTAAACGTTGCCGCGATGCCCTGGAAGAACGGCTTCGTGAGCGGGTTCTCCTGCTCCCCCCCAGCCCCTCCCAACCCTCCTCCACCACCACCACCACCACCAGCACCACCACCAGAGCCAAAAATAATGCGCATCTTGAGCTGACACAGCCCGATCGAAAAGTCATTCGCATACTGCACCAGCTGCGCGACCTGCACCTCCGGGTCGAGATCCGTGCTGTCGCCCGACTCCGTGTCGTCCAGCAGATGATCCACCAGCCGCCGCAGCCACATCAGCACATTGCCGCCCCCGCGGCGACTCAGCGGCTCGACCACCTCGTCCAGCAGCGTCTGCGGGCTCTCCGTCGCCAGGCGGCGCAGCAGCGTCAGCACGCCGCGCGAGAGGATCAACGCGCGGAGGCGCGGCGTAGGGTGTTCCGCGCAGCATGCGATCGCGCGGCGGAGCAGGCGGACAAACAGCGCGGGGGACGTGTGCGCGAAGGTCTTGCGCTTGCGGGAGAGACTGTACATCTCGGACTGAGTGAGAGCGGGGAGGAGCGGTGTGGTGAGCAGGTCGAGTGTCTGCGCGATGAGGTCGGCGGTGGGCTTGGGCGCGGAGAGGGTGCCCGTTACCACGGTTGTGAGCGGGAGGGTGGAGGATGCGACGAGGACGGAGAGCGTGTGCAGGAGCGGGAGGGGCGGGCGGCTGGTGGATTGCAGCAGGCGCGTGATCCAGCTGTGCATCAGGTCGTCGAACATGGCCGTGTCGAACTGGCGTAGCTTTGTGAGGTAGCCCACGGAGGACGAGAGCTGGCCCTGGGCGCCGGCGTCGTCGAAGGTCGTCTCCACTTTCGAAACAATAGTCTCAAACAGCCGCGAGAGGTTGTGGTTGTCGATCGTGGCCCCCGAGGCAAGCAGACGGTCAATCTCCTCGTTCCCGCCATCAAAGATGTCCGCCATCGTGTCCGACACCGGCGAGTTCGCCATCCCCGCCCTCGGATCGCACCGCGCCTGCGCCGCCAAATCGTCCTCCAGCTGCCTGCATATCTCCACACTCGCGCCCGGCACCGCCGCCAGCTCCGCCAGCGCCACCACCAGGAACCGCTCCAGCCTGCGCCGCAGCTGCAGCTTCTTATACCGATTATGCAACAGTCGCAAACACTCGTTGACGGCGCCGAGGGCCGAGAACGCCTCGACGTTGTAGCTGACCGTGTCGGCGGCCTCACTCAGCGTGCTGCTGCTGTCCGACGAACTCACCATCTTGACCACGTCCACCAGCACCGCCATATCCTGAAACATCTCGAGCAGCCCCCTCAGCAACACAAACTGGCCCGTCGTGACCGCGGTGATGCCGACCTCCACACTCAGGTCGCGCCAGTTGTCGCGGCCGACAGGCGCCCCCTTCACCACATGCATGCGCACGTTGTCGCGGATCCAGATGCCGAGCTCACACATGACTGTCCTCGAGAGGCCGGCGAAGAAGGCCGTCTCCCGCTCCGTCAGCGCCTCCGCGCCCTCGCCCGCCAGCCGCCCCGCCAGGATCTCCTTCGCCTGCGCGAGCGCGCGCGCCTCCTCGCCCACGTCGTAGCCCGCGTTCGCGAGCAGGATCTTGCGCAGGTTGCGGTGCGCGGTGGGCGCCGTGTAGACGGGGATCTCGGCGAGCAGGCGCACGTGGCAGGGGTTCGAGGCGTGCATGGTGTCGAAGCCGTACAGCGACCCGCGCGCGATCAGCCACTTCATGTAGCCGGCGAGCGCGAACGTCTTGCTGCGCACGAGCTCGCTGATGAGCAGGTAGGCGTCGTCCTTGCTGCCGGCGACCTTGGTGCCGAAGGTTTCGAGGAAGTGTAGGATCTGCTCGTGGACGGCGGCGGGGTTGGAGCGTGCCGCGGTGCGCAGGAGGGCGGCTGCGATGTAGACGCGGTGGACGCCGACGCGGAGGCTGGTGGTGCCCCATTCGCAGAGCACCTGGACGAGGTCGGCGGGGTCCATGGTGAGGCTGTGGCATTTTGACCAGAGCTCGTCGAGGTTGTAGGGCAGTTCGATGGCGTCGAGGGTGTTGATGAGCTTGCGCTGGGGGGAGAGCGTGGTGTCGGCCTTGTTGTGGTCGAGGGGCGCGAGGAGGTTCTTGTTCCGCGCGGTCAGGTTGGCGAGGCAGCTGCGGATTGTGGGGTTGCGGCGGTGGACGGACCGCGAGAGGACGTCTTTGTAGCCGTCCCAGGAGTTGGCGATGACGAGTGATTCGCGGTGCGAGACGAGGATGTCCTATGATATACTCAGCATGCTGCGGAAGGAGAGAAGGGGGAGGGCGGAGTGGGTTACAGCTAACATGACGCTCAGCCTATGCATCAGCGGTGCATATACTTCGCTCTCCTCCGCGGCGATGATCTGCAATCGGTCAGTATCGTGCTCCGGGGGTGCATGATGGGACGGAACCTACCGCTTCCGCCTTCCCCAGCAGCGCCTCCGCAAGACGGCGGCCGAGTCGCCGCGTGCGGAGCAGCTCGTCCCAGTAGATGCTCGACAGCATGTACGCCATCGGCAGCATATCCAGCGAGCAGGCTTCCAAGAAGCCCAAGAACCACTCCAAGAAGAGCGTCTTATCTAGTAAATTCTCCCAGTACAGATGCGCCGACAGCCGGACCCTACCACCATATCAAAGTGAGCAATATTTCTAATTGTAAAAAAAGGAATGGAGAGAATCCTTACGCATAGAGCATCTTCGCCTTCCACCCCTCCGTCGTTGTACACCCCACAACCGTCTTCTCCAAAAACCTCGTCACCTGCGTCGTCCACTCCTTAATCCACTTCGTCTCACTACCAACCGCAAACGACCCCACACCCTTCCTCTTGAGCCCACGCAGCTCATTCGCGCCGACACACCTCGCGAACCAGACGGCGCGCGCCGTCGGCACGCCCTTCGCCGTGCACTGGTCCAGCAGCACGGGGCCCTTCAGCCCATGCGGGATAGTCCTCGACAGCTTCCTTAGCGACACATTCGGGCTGGCCAGATCCCTCAGCCACGCCTCTCTTCGGGCGTCGGGCAGGGTCACGCGCGGCGGCGGCTTAAACGTCGAGGGTGCCGTGAAGCGGCCGTATTTCTGGCGCTTGTCGAGGACGGTGAGGAAGAGGGATGACATTGTTGCCAGGCCCGCCTTCTGCTTGAAGATGGGGGTGAGGGAAGCGCGCGCGGAGGCTTGCTCGTTCTGCGGAGGTAAGTAGGGGGGCTTGGAGGAGGAGGAGGGGGAGCAGGGGGAGGAGGAGGAGGAGGAGGAGGGGGTGGGGGTGCGGACATTGCCTTTGCCGACAAAGAGTTTGTCGAATTGGCCGTTGCGGGCTTGGGCGTCGGTGACGTGGTCTTCGGCGTGGTTTCCGCGCCAGGGGAAGAAGTCGGTGCATCCTGTGTTGTGCGGGGGGTCAGTTTTTGTCTGTGTCTGTAGCAGTAGCAGTAGTTGGGGGTGGAGATGGTATCATTGGCAGTGGCAGTAGCAGTGGTAGCAGTAGCAGTAGTAGTAGCAATAGTAGAGAGCCAATACCGCGCCCACCACAACCACTACCAACCAACCAACCAGCCAACCACAACGCGCACGGGTAAGCACTCACTCGACTCTGGATACAGCTGCGCCGCCGCCGGCGGCTCCAGCACGTACGGCTTCGGCTTATTATCCCTCCTTGGCCCGGGCCTCGCAAAGTCGGCCTTACTCGGCTGGGGGAGTATCTGCTTCTGCTTCTGCTGCTGCTGCTGCTGTCTCCCGCCCGCCGCCGTGACCACGGCCGACGAAGAGGACGAAGATGATGAAGATGTTGTAGTTGTGGTTGTGGTTGTGGTAGTCGACGAGGAGTAGACCTTCGACGGCTGGATGAACAGCGGCGACGGGGATGCCGCGGCGGCAAAGCGCAGGCGGCGGCGCGTGCGTGAGTTCTGCGTGGACGTCTTGGGGCACAGGTGCGCGCCCTCGTAGGTGCGGGCGGTGGCCTCGGCGAGGTCGAGGGGCAGCGGGGGCGTGGCCACGTGCGTGTCGGGGCCGGTGAGGTCGACGAAGATGGGGGGCGAGGGGCGCGGCGGGGGGGGCTTGGTGCGGGGGCGGTGGTGTGTGTAGGCGGACATTGTGGGGGGGTGTCCGTTGGGGGGTGAGATCTCGAGAGGGAGGGAATGTGGATGTGTAGGCAGCAGAAAGGTAGAGTTAGTTGGATAGGCACAGTTAGTTTTAGGTACAGCAGGTGCATGCAATGGGCAGAGACACGATTAGTAACCAGAGACTGAGGGAAGAGCGAGAGGTGTTGGTGATTAGTAGTAGCAGTTGTAGTTAGCAGTCAGTGCACGAAAGAGTAAATAGTGAAGCAATGCATGTCAGAGTGGTATTATTATTATTATTAGTCTACAGTAGTTAATTGAATGCGTCCCAGCTAACAACAGCTATCTACAGTATTCTGCAATCCACCCCCCGATCGACACTCACACTCACACTCACACACTCACACTCTCTTCCTACAAAGCCATTCTCTGCCCAAGAAAGAAAGCAGCCAAGTGCGCGTCGCTCAACCGCCCGCTTGTGCAACCCGGGATGGAAGGATGGATGGCCGGGTGGACCGTGCACAGCACAAGGGAGGCAACTCAGGTGCAAGGGAGGCAACTCAGGCAAGGGAGGAAGGAGGGAGGGAAGGGAAAGGGCCGGGTTCTGGTATCTACGGGCCCGTCACAGTCCATCCAGCCCATCCATCCAGTGAATGTGGGGTATCACCATTCCAGAGAGGGAGAGAGAGAGAGAGAGAGAGAGAGAGAATACTCCAGATGAATAATCGATACTCCGCCCAGTAGTAATCCACCCAAAATCACTCGGGTCGCCCATCATCACTAATCACCCACCCGTATGCACTCTACTCGGCGCCCGAGTTAATTGCCTGTCGTGTCGAGGCTGCCGTCGTACCCTAGAGCAGAGCGAGTCTCCCCTCTGCACATCACCCAGAGTCCCAGCCAGACCCAACCGGCAATGCTTCGGCTGCATCGCTCCCAACGGTGGGCGCGCATATGACAAGACGCAACCACGCATCCCCATCCATCGATCCCTCCCCCAGCCAGGCACCGTTCCTTCCTTCCTTCCTTCCTTCCTTCCTTCCTTCCGTCCGCTGTGGATCGAGGGAGCCACGGGCGCCGAGGTGAGCGAGCGTGTGATCCGTTCTGGACCTAGGCAGTCAGCGCAGGCAGAGAAAGTAGCCTTAGGTAGTGGAATAAGGAGAAGTATTCGGATTAGTAGCCAGCCTCGTATTTCGAAATAGATGATAGCAGAAAGACTGTGGGGTTGGCTATTTACATAACTCTTGGATAAACTAGAGTAGCTAGCAAAGTACATACATACATAGTGCAGTGGAGAAAGCCCATATCTAGAGCGCTCCTTCTTCCTTCTCCCCCGAAACTATCCATCTACCTAGATACACCTCTATCTACTTTTCCTCACAACCCCTTCTACCCTGCATCCCAACTCTCCCGCCCACCACCATCACCACAATGTCCACCACCGACACCCCCCAAACCCCCACCGCCATGCCCGCCGCCCCCCCACCCTCATCACCAACCCCCCAGCGCCCCGCCCGCCCGCGCAAAAACACAACCTTCGAACAACTCGACCGCCCCGGCTCCGTGCGCGTACGCTCCCCTCCCCTCCCCTCCCCTCCCCTCCCCCCTCCTCCTAGGCAAACAAACTAAACTAACCCCTCCCTTAGATCAACGTCCGCGGCGCCTTCATCGACTCCGAAGAGCCACTGACGCCTCCGCGCACCGGCTCGCCCCCGCGCGGGCCCGTCACAAAGGACATCCGGCTGCCGCACCACAAAGCCGACGTCTCGCACATCGCGGTCGACATCGGCGGGTCGCTGGCGAAGCTCGTGTACTTCTCGCGCGAGCCGAACGGCGAGGGCGGGAAGCTGAGCTTCAAGAACTTTGAGACGGAGCGCATTGAGGAGCTGGTGGCGTACATGGGGGGGCTGGTGAACGGGAAGCGGGGTGCGAAGGAGGGGGAGGAGGGGGATAAGGGGGAGGATGTGCTGTATGTGATGGCGACGGGCGGCGGTGCGTTTAAGTTCTATGACGAGATTAAGGAGGCGCTCGGGGTCGAGATATACAGAGAGGACGAGATGGAATGCCTCATCATCGGTATATACGCCCCTCAACCCCCCCCCCCCCCCCCTCTCTTCCACCCACCCCTTCTCCGAAGACTAACAGCAGTGCGCACCCCCAGGGCTGGACTTCTTCATCACCGAGATCCCCGAAGAGGTGTTCACCTACAGCGAAGCCAACCCCATGGCCTTCGCCGCGCCGCGCCCCGACATCTACCCCTACCTCCTCGTCAACATCGGGTCCGGCGTCTCCATGATCAAGGTCTCGGGGCCGCAGCAGTACACACGCATCGGCGGGTCGTCGCTCGGCGGCGGCACGCTGTGGGGGCTGCTGTCGCTGCTGACGCAGGCAAAGAGCTTCGACGAGATGCTGGGCATGGCCGAGTGCGGCGACAACACCAAGGTCGACATGCTGGTGGGCGACATCTACGGCGGCGGGTACGGCAAGGTGGGGCTGAAGAGTAACACCATTGCGAGCAGCTTCGGGAAGGTGTTTAAGAAGAAGCGGGAGGGGGAGCAGGCGGCGGCCGAGGGAGAGGCGGAGGGCGCAGACGGGGAGGGCGCGGAGAAGGAGAAGGGCGGGCCGAGGTTCAGGGAGGAGGATATTAGCCGTAGTCTGCTGTACGCGGTGAGTAACAATATTGGGCAGATTGCGTATCTGCAGGCGCAGAACCATGGGCTGGAGCATATATACTTTGGGGGCAGCTTCATCCGCGGTAAGTTCCCCTCCCTTCTTCCTCTCTTTCCTGGCTTTATAGTTATAGTAGCTGATTGTGAATAGGACACCGCCAAACGATGAACACCCTCTCATACGCCATCAAGTTCTGGTCACAGGGCGAGCAGAAGGCATACTTCCTGCGCCACGAGGGATACCTCGGCGCGGTCGGCGCGTTCCTCAGGAGGCAGCCGAGGAACTGGGGGAGGAGGTATAGCGCGGGGGAGGAGCATGGCGGGAGGAGGGTCTTTACGCCGGCGAAGGAGTAGCTAGAGTGTAGTTGTGTAAGTCCTTTTTTTTTTGTAATTTTGTGGTTTGTAGTTTTTTTTACTGGGTCGGCTTTTTCTGCTTCTCGTTTTTTTTTGTTTTTTGTTCATGTTTCTGTTTTGTGTCCGTTTTTTATACTGTAGTTTATTGCCCCCCCCCCCGGGGGCCCTCGTAGTTGCACGCCCCCCTTCCCACAGATGGCGGTGTGAGTTGATACCATAGATGCGTCCCTATGTCGTTGCGATCATTGGCTTTGTTATACAATTACAATACTATAGATGTTACGTTTTCGATCATTACCGCTGCCTGTCTGTATGTGCACGTGATATGGGTTGGAAGCAGGGGATAGGGGCGGGCTGGGTTGCGTGTGGAGTTATCATAAGGGTAAGTATGAGGGTATGGGCATTTTGGCTGGCTAGGGGAGCGCGCAGGTGAGGTGGTTGTATGTACCAGGGGGTCATGGATTCGCACTCGCACACAATGCAACTACGTCCCAACGCGACCACACACTCTTTACTCCTCCTCGAGTCCCTTCAACGGCCCCCCGCCCCCCCCCCCCCCCCCCTTTCCCCCCTCCCCCCGTGCAGCCTGTATTCGGAAACAACACACATGTATACGCCGTCCTACTCCGTAGCTAACGACGCCCACGCACCGCGCGTGCGCGCGCCCTATGCTATGATTCATATACTGGTAGAAAGCACTCGATCGATCACGGTAAGTTACGCAGCTGCATTCACATCTGCGAGGCACGGGTATGGCGCGGGTTAAACAAGGCATGGGGGTTCGGTGGGTATTCTGAGGGATTATGATTATCTCAGGGCTCTACGTCCGAGAGAGACCGGCCCTAGATCTAAACTAGTGCGGGATATAGAAGCAGGGGCGGGGTGGGGTGGTCTTGTTCGGTTCTCGGTGATCTGTGGGGTGAGTATGTGTGTCTAGCTACATGTAGCTACATGTGGTTGCGGGGGGAGACCGTGGGTGGATGGGTTGGCTGTCCTTCGCAAGATACGAAGGTAGAGGGGGTTGGTACATGGAGGCCTAGGTAGATCCGTCCGATGAGTAGGACCGATTGGGATCGAGGGGGGAGGTGAATATTAGGCCTCCTTTCATATCACCGCTACGCTACACCGGTGCTGATGAAAAAAAGTCACAGAGCTACGTAGAGAACGGACGCGGACATCCGCCCTAAACCAGTCTATTCGACATTCTCGTAAAAACGTTAGACAAGAAGGCCGGCGGCCTAACAAGCAGGGCCATGGCCAGTTGGGGCACCTGTAATATATCTGCCAAAGCTACAGTAGTAATATAGCTCGAGTCCAACCACATCTCAACCAACGCCCAAAGCTTGAGCCAGTAAGGTCCTACTTGGTACGTAGAGCTAGCGGAGATTCACGTTTGGCGGGGTGACTCGCACGGCGTGCCTGCATACATACCCATCATGCAACCCACCACCACCCCACCCAGAGAACATCAAACAGCTGCATACATGTATGTAATCACATATCAGACCCCCGGGAACAGGTTTTTACAGAGGCTGTAACGCAGGATATGTTCAGTGTCCTGGATTATGCGAGTGATTGTTCATGATCCATATTCTACTATACATAGCAATCACCACATATACCACCACCACGACTACGGGGACCATCCTGGGTGGAGTAAGGGAATATAGACATTGCCAAAAGCTGGGTATTAAACACCGAGAAGCTCGAAACAGTAGGAAGATCTTTCGTTGAAAAAGCTCTAAGCTGCACTAATTCATGCTAGCTCCAGCCATGACGGATCACAGCTAGCGACTTTAACTTCGAATTCATATATACATGTAGGCAGGCCTCTACTAAATCCATTTATGAAACACTTTTGGGAGTAGCAGTGGTCTCGTTCCCAGGCCTGCCAAGGACAATTAATGACCACGCGGCTTTCTGCCGAACTTTACAGTAGGGACGATGCATGAGGCTAGAGCAGAGCTAGAGGTGTCAATGATAATTGTTAGCCACGTCACATTTATCATTGAATTCAAGTACCTAGTCTCGAGAATTATAAACCCAGGAGTTGTGTTGATCACCCCGCTAGTAATTGGGTAATCTGCTCAACGTCTGGAATATTGCAGTCTGGTGCGAGACTGAGTTACCTTGCTCGTGATGGTCTTTGATATATCGATATATATATATCCTACGCATTTAATTTATTACCGCTCCTCCAAGTACACCGGCCAGCCAGGGTATAAAAAGCATGAGCTCATTATTGTCGCTAAAAGCACATGTTCAGAGCATCAAAAGAACGAAAAGCAAAGAAAGAGAAATAAAATCAGACAAATAAAGCAAACTCCCATTAAAACATGGGAGAAAAGAGGCCTAAAAGGAGATGATGTCCGCCTTCCTCCCCTCCTGCTTTACGAAATCAAAACAATAACAGGCCCTCAACAATAATTAAATCACTAGAATCGTCTGCCCAAATAACCTAGGCTAAACCTTCTTGTCTGTTTCCTCAGCATCAGCTGTTGTTGTTTCCTCAGTATCACCGTCAGACTTCTTTTTCAGCCTAGGAGGATCAGTATCCCCTAAGAACCCATCCATCAGATACCCTCCCCCATTTAGCCTTGTCGGAGCTATTGCAACAAAAAACGAAAACGTAAGCCTCTTTTCTTTCCCGTTCAATCAAATCAATTCATCCAATTTCTCATTCTTCCACCCCCTCCCCCAAACGCACCAGCATCACAAATCAGTTGGACCAGGAATCGCGGTTCCATATAGGATCTGTATTCCGCACGAAACAAAACAAAAAACGGAGAGAAACTGAATAAGCCGTGTGTTCACCAGCTTATGGAGAGGGGATGGGGTGGAGGGGGAGGATGGCATTATTATTAACGTACCCTGGACAAACGAAGCAAGAACTTTAGATCCCGTCTGGAGTAACGGGTGGCCGACTACGATCTGAAGGAACCGTTGCAGACCCTCCCGACGGTGCTCGATAACGTCATCCGAGAAGCGGTTGGTGAATACCTTTCCTGGGAGGGGCGGGATAGTTACACGCGAGGACTCCCGTTCAAGAATTTCGCGAAACTTCTCAAATTCGCTGTAGCGACGACGGACACTGGAGGATCGGATCTGAGATGGAGCTGTGCGTTAGCGTACCCGCCCGCATGGTTGCACTTAAATCAAAATGACGGCCCGCTCACCTTAAAGGCTGGGATATTGGTCTGCACGATAATGAATAGTCTGTCAGTTTGCGAACTTGACTATATGTACGTATGTGAATATGTTTTTCGAGAGACTTACACGACAAACAACCTCGTAATCTGTATACATACCACGCCCGAAGCCATGTGTTTGTGGATCTTTGACCTGTGTGTGGAAAAGCGGGATAGTCGCCCCTGATCAGCTTCAAGAACTATACTCTGGTGCCGAGCAGCGGCGGCGGAATAGTGAAGGCGGGTGCACCTCTATCTCAAGGAAATTCTCCGGGGGGCCGTAAATCTCGTCGAAGCTCTGAGGCCGAGAGGACTGGATCGGTGCCTGCATGATGTATGTTTACGTATGTGTGTGATTAGGGGTTCTAGCTTGGTGATATACGATTTATTAAGCGGCTTGTTGTTATTGTGAGGGATGAGTTCTGTTTATCTTGGGTATGGGGTGATATTAAGAAGTGGGGAGACAAAGAGACGTCCTAGGTCGGGGGCGGTTGGAGTGGAAGAGGTTATCGTCATCTAGAGGCTGCCCCACAATTAGATACGAGATGGCAGGGGTCACGTTTATATAGAATCCGACCAGCAAGGCGCCTTGGGTCTTGTGAGATTCCATAGCTGTCTAATGCCTACATGTATGACCGCTCCCCGCTTTCGTGGCTTTCTGCCAGATCAAGTGGAACATATACATATCTGGTTCGCTTCCGTTACTGAGAATAAGGAGAATTAATATGGGCTTGCATAGAAGACAGAGAGAGCACACGAGAGCCCACAGGGATTCGATATATCATTTTCACATGCATCTGAATGGGGAGTGCCTTAAGCTGAATCTGGATCCCGACGCGTCGTTGTTTATGGTCTGCCAAGAACCTCAAAGTGCCAAAGTGCCCCACGCTGCCTCGACATCCAGCGCCGTTCAATTCACGAAGAGACATACCAAGCGCTAGCTGTACCCTACATATGTAGTCCATCAAACCAGGTCAATTCCAAAATAGATTTGCTGAAAGAGATAAATCACACATCCTCCAGCTTCTTACACTTTATTTGAAATATTGCAAAACTACTAATATGTCTCGCTATCTCAGTATGAACTCTTCATCCATCATGAGTACTAGAATGCTAATGCTATCCCCGAATAAGCTCCCGGCAAGATAGCTCTCCTTGCTCTCGTAGAGCTCTATGCCGAGTCTATGTTCCCTAATGACTCCATCGTACCGGTTCTATCATTTGTCGTCAAGCATCTAGTCAGCCCCAAAGAAAACACTACCTTCATCCTCAATCTCGAGCAGATCACCGCAGCCACCGTGGGCAGGGCCAGTACAGTTGTGGGCCGTTCAATATTCGACCTATTGCTACGAAAGCTATGGGAGATCAATTCCTTCGATGCATTGCACACCTTCTTCACCGACATACAAGGCTTCCTTGTTGACCCCGAGAGTGGTTCAAAACCTCCAATACGGGAACATGGTGAAAAATCACAGCTTAGTCGTGCATCAGTACTGGGATGCTTTGTAAGGAGGGCTGGATTGGAATATGTTAGGCTACAGTTCAATGAGGCGATCCTGTTATGGCAATCGTTCATACAGTATCGGGAACCCACATTGTCGATGTGGAAGAAGAGGAATCTTGGAGCCGGTCCACTAAGCTTTGATGTTAATTTGAAGGGAATGTCATCAAACGATGCTCTGGTGAACCTGGTTTACGGGCAGGGCAGATTAAGAGAAGCCAAGAATTGTGAGTGAGCTGTGGCATACACTGGGGAGTTGCACTAACACTGCGGAATTCAGTATCAACCGATGATGTAGAAAGACTACTCGAGTATCAGGTTGACTCTATGCAGAGTGAGTAACCTATAAATTTACAAAATAAATATAGCCCTAACAGTTCATAGGAATGGGTACTCGGATTCCGGATGAGATGCAAGTCCAACTCCGCCAGATGCTTGACACAAATGTCACCATTCCTGCACTATCACATTATGTTGAGTAAGAACTCCCCAGCTGGCTGAAGCTAATGTCGATGCTAACTGCCACTAGATTTCTGAATTCGTGGCGCTCCGGGGACTATCCAGGATCGTTTGACAACCTACATCGTTACTTTGACTACACTATGCATAATCGTGATAGGTAATATTTACAAACGGTCCTACAATATCTAATAGTCGAATACTGACTCAATATAGAACATTTTATCAATACGCTCTCCTTAATCTTGCTATCCTCCAAGCAGATTTTGGCTGCTACCGCGAATCAATCTTAGTATGTACACATATCTATCATCAAATTCTCGCGCATCAACACCTAACCTTTTCAGGCAATGCAAGAAACCATCAATACTGCCCGTGAAAATAAAGATATGGCCTGCCTCAACTTTTCCCTCTCCTGGCTGTATCACTTTCACAAAGCCCATCCCCAGGACTGCCCAGATGTAATCTCCTCGCGCATGGAGCGGGAATCCCTCCAGTTCCTCAAGGCCAAAGCTAAAGAGGGTGGCATGCACCATTTACAATCGATGGCCCACCTTTCAGAAGCTAAACAGATTCTTGTCGGAGGTGAAAGTGTGCCCACGGCATTTGAGAGCATATTGAGAAGCAGCCATTTAAACGTTACTAAGAATATCCATAATGCGATGGGAAGTCAAATATTATTACAAAGTAGCCTGTGGTCCAGATTGGGCATGTGCTATTTGGCGGGAGGAAGTTGTGAGTTATTTTTGGCGAAATATAGAACAGAAAGCCCAGTTGAGGACGTGGTGAAAGCGTTATGTAGGGAGGCTTATATTGTGAGTGTTATGATGATATTATTCGGATTCTGCTTTTGCTGACATTTTAAACAGATGTCAATGAAAGGTAGATTCGACGATGCGATAGACCGCCTAGACCAGGTCGATCAAGACTGTCTTCGTACCCTTAAGGTCTATCAATACTGGGCCACCTACGTAGGTCTCTTAAAACTTAAGCAAGCTATCTATAAAGGTGACATCTCGGCCGCCGAATTACTTCTTCAACAGCTTTCCTCATCACCATACGTGGAGCCCGATTGTGCACTTGAGATATCAATATGTCGCCTTGACCTTCAAGTCCGCCGCGGAAACTACTCTGCTGCCCTAGCAGGCATCACCCAACTAGCCGAGGAGCTTATTCGTGACCGTGCCGACCTCTACCATCGCATCCGGTTGATGGTCTTTAAAGCAGATCTGCTCTCAAAGTGCGGCCGCCCGCTCAAAGGTCTCTCTGTAGCCATCAATGCCGCCACAATTGCCTGGCGGGCTCGCTTACTACCAGCGTTATTCCAAGCGTTTAGAACCATCGCAAATATCCTCATTAATTTGAGTGAGTTTGAGGCCGCGTATGGAATGATGGATAGTATCATGCCACAGGTGTTGGAGTGTGAAGATGCGCAATTGAATGCACAGTGTTTTTCCGCATTGGCAAACGCTCAGATGGGGTTGGCAGGCGGAAAGAGTGGGGCCGGGAGGAATGAGTGTTTGCATAGGGCATTAGAGTTTATCGACAGATCTTTTCATGGTGAGTGATTTTCTGTGTTTGGGTTGGGGAGTCACGTGCTCTGCATTTACTAGGTCAACTACACAGTTGCGGACTTTGAAAACTAACAACTAGTAGAATATGCACGGCTTCAGGACACTGAAGCACAAATGACTTTGATGAGCCAGAAGGCCCGTATACAGGATTTCATTGGAGATAAAGGACTACGGGATGATGCGGTGAAGATGTACCGCCAGTTGCAAAAGGCAACCTGAACAGCAACCAAGAACAGACTTGGAAAATAGGGAAACGGTTGAGTGGTGTTTTTATTCCCTATACCCAGATAAAAATATCCCCCCGACAAACCCTGTTCCCGTCTATAGAAAATGTTCGCAACCTTTGTACAATACTTACCGAAGTGATACCACATTACCCATTCTTATTGCTTCTCTTCTCCTTTGTTATTGTACCCAAATTATAAATATACACGGTAATTCTAGACGTTTATCTTTCTCTACTTCCCTCGACCTGACCCGGAACGTTCCTCAAGCCTTTTCGCCAAATAATCGTAGGATTGTCTCATACATCCCAAACATGATAGCAGCTGAGGGCACCACTCGGAGCTATTCAAACGTCAATATAAATCCCACCCATGCCGTCAACTTCCAGGGAAACTTACTAAATGTGGGCTAAGTCCACCATACATAGACACTAACCCCTCCTCCTTCCAGATCAACTTGAAGCACTGAATCAAGCCTGTATACTTGACCTTCCCATCTGTTGGCCTTTGCCTCAGTCTCGTTCTAACAACCTCATGCGGATAGGTCACAATTGCTGCGAACAGCTTTGCACTCCCGGCCGCGCCCAACTTTCCACTCCAATCCACAAATCCGTCCCACAAGGTCTCCTTGCGCCCACTCTCCACAATAAGCTCCTTCCTCCGTGCAAGATAACTCTTCATCCGCTCGTACAGGACCCACTGCAGGGTGCTCTCTGTAACGCCGAGGTATGAAGCTGACAGGCCGCGGTAGAGCCCCCGGAACCCTTCTTGCCGGATCACTTGTCGCGCACAATCGTAGCTGTTTTTGTATTGACGGCCGCCATGAGAGGAAGCATGCTGCTTATCCAGCTGGAGGCGGGTTTTGATAAGCCAGATAGGGTTAGTGGCGGTTCCGGTCACGATACCGGCAGCGGCGGCGGCGAAGAGATGTACGGTTGAGTTCTCTTCTCCGTCGTTAAAGGTGTTGGCTATTATGCGTTTTCCATTGCCGTAGGTGTAGAAGTTGATCGCACTGAGTAACCGCGCCCGTTAATGCCTGTCTGAAGAGCCCTCTCTATATTTATACGGGGGTTTGGGGGGTACGTACCGAGCTGGAACGACACCACTAAGATTAGGGCCCAGGCCTTTAAAGAGAGCTCGCCAGCCCTCTGTTTTGTGAACATTCGCCAGTATCTGGAACGTTTCCTGGAAATGTCTAGCGCCCTGTCTGATCAAACCTCCGCTGTGGTTCCTGTTACTAGCCGCTAACTGTTGCTTATAAAAATCAGACTGAAGCCGAGTTTTTACGACGTCCAATGGCGAAGTTAAGAATGTCGAAGTCATTCCTCCGGCTCTGTTTGCGTGTTTAGCATCTTCTTGCTTCTAGGTTTGCTGTAGGAGGCGCAGGTGGGAATTCTTACGCTCCAGCGACGAAGTGTGCCCATGGTTTACGCTCTGTCTTTGATTTTGACTCTTTACTATCTGGTGCTGGAACGGCGACGCCGAGTTCTCGGGATGTGGGAATATTTTCAATGGTGGATGTAGCATCGGGCCTGCTTGTCGCCGCCGCCGTCGACTTAGAACCGAAGGCGCTCATTTTAGAGGGAATTGAAACAACCAAAGTATCTTATCGTCTTCGGGGTATAAACAAATCAATCGAGACGATTTGAAATTTTGTGTTTGGTTGGTTGTTCGTGGGGTTGCGGAGGTTCAACTTTTTAGTGGGGGTGACGCTTAGAGGGGAAATATTTCTGGTTTTGTATGGCTGTGGAGATTTTTTTTCTTTCCATGTGAGGCTCTGTTGATGCGCCACCATTCGGAAGCTAGGATGTGCGATGATCATTGGCAGGCATTGCAACCACAGGGTCCCACTTGTTAAATTTGGGAAATCTGAATTGGATTTAGTCTTATCGGCATATCTCGTGGGGTAGTTTAAATTGTTAGTTTTGCGACTTGGGTAATGTCTTAAAATGCCGAGTGATAATTCATGATGTAGAATCGATTTGGTTTATAAAGGATACTAATATGTCCCTCACCACACCAAGGAAATATGTAGCCACAAAGATGAAGAATAATTTGTGTTCATAATAATAGGCCTTGGTCCTTATTGACATATTTTTACGATCCTTGTGGAATTCAAGCTAGGACCCTTTATGATCCCGGAGCGGCGCATACGCATACTTCAATATATATTTGTACATACTTTAAACTCAGTACCTTCGACTCATCTTATACTGATATGAAAATGTTGCAAACAGATACCTATATAGGACGAGTCGCGGCTGCAACCAGAGAGGATTATAGATTCGAAATGATGCATGATCATAAATCAACTTATGTAGAATATCAACAAGTTACCAAAGCACTATGTAGCTACATGTCAGTAGGTACTACATATGTGTACCTTGGTCTCAATCTGACAACGTCTGGTCTTAGCTATAGACTTATCTGGTATTGCAGGATTTGATAAATTAATACAATACATGAAGATTTATACTTAAATGCAATGGAAGATTGTTAAATGATAATTACGAGTCCTAGTTAAATTCTCAAGATACGTAAAGTAATACCGTCCCTTACTTAATCTCGAGTCGGAGTTTATAAGGTATCTTTGGCGTCTAGGTCGGCTTAAAGTGTATACGTTATGTGTGTATATAATATAGGCGGTCTTTAGGGCATTGCCAATGATCTCTTAAGCCGTTAAACTGGATTAATTGCAATACTAGCTTTAGACTTGTCCCGTAGTGAAGATAATACGTACTAATCATGAAATATGATTCGGTTAGAAAATAGTATTATCCAGGAACCTTCGGGGCCTGGCCAGCTTACTGGTAACAGTAGTTAGCAACGTTCAACGAATCATATGCCATATAGATGGGTTAGAAGCTAGTATTACAGTCACGTCTGACGGCTTAAGGGATAACCTCAGCAAGCTTCGGTCTCAGGAGTGTTACACATGTATTCTGAGAAGAGATGTTGTGCCTCACAATCGGGGCTGTTCATGAACTTCAAATTCTGCAAAATGAAAAAGAGAAGAAAAAAAAAAAAAAAGAAAAAAAAGTAAAAGAAACTGCTGTGGTATCGGATCCCTAGCTAGGTCCCTGCTGCATCGGCGTGAAATCTGTCTGGCCCGCTACTTTAGACTTGTACTCGTATTTTCCTGACGTTTGTGGACGCGACTGATATTGCATGTCATACAAAAATACGCCAAGCTCATGATTTTGGGTGTATGCAATAATGGCCCAGTTCAAAAACGTCAGGAAGATACTAGTACTACTATAGTATGTAGGTAAAACTGCATATGTATGTAGGTACATGTAGTACAGCGAGAGGGAAAATTATTGTAGAAACAGGGGTCTAAAAACAGGGTTTCTACGGCTGGGCGAGCCAATAGGACTTTTCCCATACTTCTACAATAATTTCCCCCCTCGCTGTAGAGTGTAACCTACTCTATTCTACATAAAGCAGGTAGGTACTCTACTTCTATGAATCCGGGTAACAGGGGGGTATCCATGAAGTGAGTATCTGTGCCCTGAACAATGAGGCGCACGTCCTCTCGGCCAGCCGCTCCAAAGCTGACAACCAATCAACCTTCAATCAAGTCTGTTTAACCTTCTCCTACTGCTGTGCAGTCGGTTCCTTCGTGACGATCGTTTTTGACTATATTCAATCATTCCCTTACAATACTATTCAACGGTTGTTGGCAAATCTCTTTCCACCACTCGGAGTGGTCCAGGACCTATCCCCTAATTCACTCCTATGACCTCAGATCCCAACCGTCAAGAGAGTGTCCGGTCAGTTAACGACTTTCCAACGGCTATGGCATCACAACAAACCCTCCATCCTGCGCAGAACGGCCATGCACTAGTTCCTTCACAGCAGCAGCAGCAGCCCCCTAGTCCCTCACTGGGGGAACAGGACAAAGCAAGACTAATCGAAGAGATTCTGCTTTCAGATGTCAGTACTTGCGTTTCAAGTAATTACATAGTGTCGCGGCTGATCATAGTGTTTAATTAGGTTGGTGTGAAAACACTTCTTAATAGACTCAAACAAAGCATAACAGCCTGCAGAGTAAGCTTTCTGAGTTGTCGCAATTTTAAGCTTAAATTTTTGACGTTGTTCAACAAATAGGAATTTTCTGCATTTATTAAACGCCGTGCTTCCCTCGAAGAAGAGCATGCCCAAGGTCTACGTAAGCTTTGTAGCCTCACGCACACCAATATCCGTAGACCCGAATGTCGCCAAGGTACCTATGCCCGCTCGTTCGAAGAGACCACCCGCATCCATGGCCGGATGGCAGAAAATGGCCTGCAGTTCAGTCTCGCCCTGCAACAAATGCACGAAGATCTTACAGAGCTGGGAAATAATATGGATCGTGGCAAAAAGCATTGGAAACAGACTGGATTAGCTTTTGAAAGGAAGGTTCAAGATGCGGAAACGCTTGTAGAAAAGGCAAAAATTAAATATGATACTGCAGCAGAGGAATATGATCGTGCTAAATCTGGAGACCGACGCGCTGGGAAGTCACCTTTTAGTATAAGAGGAACCAAAAAGGGACCACAGCATGAAGAGGATTTATATCGCAAGGTCCAAATTGCTGATGGAGACTATTCTGCTAGAGTACAGCAAGCAAGTGCAGCGCGTGCTGAGCTAATAGGCTCTCTTCGTCCATCAGCAGTGAGAAGCTTGCGGGAGATGGTTGCCGAATGTGACAGTGGGCTGACAGCGCAACTGCAGAGATTTGGTGGGTATCCTTTTCCGAGTCAGGAGATCTCTGCTAATATCTTTCAGCTCAATTGAACGAGAAATATCTGCTTAGCAATGGATTGAGTGTTAGTCCCATGAAATCAGAGAATCCAGATGCCCGTAGCATGCGTGATGTCATATCTCTCATCAACAATGAAAAGGACTTTGAGAATTATATTCTTGACCTCGCTGCCACAGTCCCACTAAGTGCTCGAAGCCAGGAAGTCAAATATGAACGGCACCCTGTGCGTATCTCCACACATGAATTTC